GCAATGACGGAAGAGAAATGGGGCTCGGAAAGAGAAATAAGCATCAAAATGTGAATGAGACACTTTTAAAGTCTTTATACTCGTTATTTGATTGTGGCATCTTTACATTTTATTTAGCACTTGAAAGCATCACTACCAACTACGTCCCATAAATTAATGGGTAGTTTTGTAATTGGGCGTTTATGGGATGTAAAGTTACATTGTCCAAAATTACCAGCAGTAATATGGATTTACTGTCATAAGGGAAAAACAAAATGGGGTTCATTATTCAAAGTGATAGTTTCACCGTGTTATTAATTTAATCATAAATGACTAAATATTTAATTAGCAAGTTAAATATTTAGTTTGAGAATAAATAATTAGATTTTTTACTAAATAATCAGCTTTATCCAAACATTTATATATAAGATTTAGCTTCAAACTACAGCCCCAAACGAAATATGAGCAGTTACCTAAAAATATTTAGCTAGCATCTAAGTAGCAGCTTTCATAACTAAATATTTACATAATAAGCTAATATTCAGCTTGAAGCTGTACTTTAGAATTAAAAAATTAACTTCAAGCTAAATAGTTTAATAGATATATTGAATGATTACAGACAATCTTACCAATAAGCAGAAGTGGACTACCAAAATAAAAGCTGGCTCTAATGAACTTGCATAGTAAACATTTTTTGCTTCAGCTGTTGCTCATGTCTCCTCTTCTTTATTGTTCCCTCCCCTCTGGACATGAACAACATCTCAGCTTAAAATGGTGAGCCATTTTAAAAATTCATATTTTTATCAATGAGCTCACCAGCAGAAGATGATGTGGAGGTTCTCAAGGCCCAGCTTTTACTTTCAGGGTTATTAGCAAGGATTTATGTTGGTAATTAAATATTTAGTTAGAAACTGTTACATTTATATATTTTTGTTCTTTTATGATAGGCTAAATAATCAAAGTTATTGCCATTAACTTTTCAATAGGTGTTACTTGATTCTATTCTTTGACTGTAGGGGGTGCTGTTTCTTCTGCACAACTCAACTGTTTCGTCCCACGTATATTTTCACCACAAAAACAGAAATTTATGATCAAGATATACATACAAAGAGATTCCATATCTATAATCTTAATCAGCTAGACAAAGAAACTTGATACATTTCTTGCATTGTGACTCGCAATGTCAGAAACATTCAGGCTATTTTCACAATTACGTAAAATTACTTCCATTCTATCTGTACTTCCAGCCTTTTGCCGCAAAAAACCTGTCTGGAAAATTCACGTAAACTCATCATATTCAAGGAATAGCGAAAGGTGAGGTTAATAAAACAACATCTACGTGTTAATTAGCCATGACAACGTTATCCATTATTGTTAATTTACCATTTTCGTGCAGTTTATAAAGGAAACAGCATCTGAATAGACGGTATTCCTGCTAGCAGTAGCTTTAGCCAAATGTAGCTAAAATACAGTCAGTGCTGTAATGTTAAAAGGCTTACTTTTTCTATCAACGTTAATAAAAATAATATTTACCTGTTAGTTCGTCACGTCAATGTTATCCGTCATTGTTAATTTACAATTTCCTTAAAGTGTGTAAGGGAAACAACCTACAATTTTAAATTCAGCTAGCTAGCAGCAGCTTTAGCCACATGTAGCTAAAAAAATGTCAGTCCTGCAAAGTTCAAAGGTTTACTTCCTATATTAATGTAAAATCACGGACATCTTCCAACACTGTTGCTTAGAATACTGCTGTAAATATTAAAACCTTTGCATTATTCTGATATGATTCATAATTTCTTGTTTTGTTTTGTTGTGTCCATCTTTCTCAGCAGCAACAAACAAAAATCATATTTGAGTTTCCATAATTTTCCTGTGTACCCAAAAATACTTGCCTGTTAGGTGAGAGCAATCAAGAGAGATGAGAGACCAAGTTTTCAAATCATCCATGGGAGCTGCAGCCAGCACTTTGCCCCGGCACATCAACCAGTGGAAGATATCGGATTGGGGTAAAGGGAAGATCACAGGGTTCAACATTTTTTAAAATATCATGAACAAAAATGTGTCCTAACTGTGAAGTGTCTCAACATATTTCCCACATTTAGGGAGAAGCTCACAAGTTCCTGTGTCTGTTTTCATTCGAACCAAAAAGCATTTTGGTGCTGCTGGCCAGGATGATGCCCAGAAGACGCCAGACCCTGGGGACTGGACAGAGGAGGGATTGGCTGCAGGTGCAGTGACTATGCCTGCAATCTTCCAGGTTAGTATTATAGAAAGTGTCTTGTACAAAAAACATATGGCAGTGAATGACATTGTAACCATCTAGAGAACATTTCAGACTTGCTAACTGGTGGGGAGATTGTTAGTAAATACATTTGAGTGAAGAGGAGGAGCTTTGGTATCCATCTCTAGAAAATGTTGCATATTTTGTGTTTTTTTCTTTGAATAAACTTTATATTTATAAGAACTCAAGTTAAGTTTATCTGTATTGCAGCAACATGGCATGTGTGCCTTGTGTATATTACATATACAGGTCTGGAAAAGATTAAGCAACCACTGCAAAATTATCAGTTTCTGTGATTTCACTCTTTATATGTATATATTTGAGTAAAATGAACATTGTTCTTTTATTCTGTGAACTACTGACATCATGTCTCTGAAATTCCAATCATTGAGAGCTGATGATCTTACTGTGAGGAAACTATTTGCTAATTAATAATATTTGACGTTTTCTCTCATCATTTATTGACTCGTCTGCATGTAATGGGTCATTAAGACGCATCTCATTCAATATTGTAGCATAATTTATTTTATGACGCAGTTGTAGTATGCTGACAACATGCTAGCTAGTGTTAAAAGAGCAAGATTGAACAAGTTAACCATGGCAACCGCTGAGCGTTTAATGCACATAAGTCAAACTCAAGGTCGGGCGCCAAATCTGGCCCTTTAGACTCCAAATTACATCAATAAGTCCCTCCAGTTTTTCACAAATTTGCAAAACTCACAAAAAAATCAACAGATCTTCACATTTTATTCTGATTTTACTGCAAAATTTCTCTCAAAATTGGCCAAAAACATTGAGTTTAAGTTACTGCTGCCTCAGCCTCAGCTTCACTTGATGTCAAGTCTCACTTCTTTGATGAACATACACTCACCTGGATAGTACAGGGTTGTCTTCCTTCGTGAAGATTATACAGGTTTTTATGTGTTTACCTTGGCTGAACAGGCATCTTACATTTTCCTTTGACTTGCTGCTAAATTTCCCCAATATCAATAAAGGATATTTATTTTTTATTTTATTTTAGAAACTTGGGTTATCGGACTTCATAGTTAAAAAGAACCCCTGATTGACCCCTGACCTCTTGGCAGTGTTTCTAACATTCTCAAGCAAACCTCTGAGATGATCGATAAATACATTCAATAATTTCAATAAAGCTCCACCTTTAGGACTCAACATACAGCAACCCTTTTACTTTATTAGGAACGTTATGTTTCAGTTACTATTTTATGACAAATATAATTCCGTAAACGTTTTAAAAGACACACTTTGGAAATTAGCGTCTCACTCAATACTGTGTATTTATAACAAAATTATACATTCATTAATATGAATTATCCTGTTGGAGATATCTATTTTTTATGTTTATTCATTTTGTTGAAATTTGTTCTTGGTTTACTTTATTTCTAGGGGTTAATTTGTTATTTTTTTTTTTGTTTTGTTTTGCCTTTGTAAGTTATACAGGAAGAACTGTGAAGCCATTTTCCATAAGTACAGAAACAGGACCAGCATGCACCGGGGTGGGCTTATGTTTCTGTTTTTTTTAACCATAGCAGGGGGAGAAGAAGGAAACAGTAGAAAGATAAATCTGCATTTATTGCTTGCCTTGGTGGATAAATAAACCATAAAATGCAACCTTATAGCTTTTGCACGCTGGACTTCTTTTTTCTGCGAATAAAATATCACCACAGAGCAGAAATGGCTCATTGATCATTGATTTCTGATACTTGGTGTGAAAACAAAACAATTCAGTTAAGAAGTTTAATTATTCCAGTAACTAAGTAAAACACATCGTATAGATTAATCACCTGATGTTGTCAGGTCTCTCCTTTATTTTTTATTGTTTTTGCTGATGAAATCATATTTGATATTATAATCAAAAGTATTTAAAAAAAAGTTATTTTCAAACAAAATCTAACAAACCAGTTGGGTTGTAACTAATTACATTTACTTGAGAAAAAAGTGATTTTTAGGAGTATTTTTACTATGTTGTACCTTTTACTTTTACTTGAGTAATTTAATTATGAAGTATCTCTTCTCTGGAGTAAAATTTCTGGATTTTCTACCCACTGAATAAAAAATAAACATGTTTTAACCAAAAATTCACCAGACACAGAGACACACCTGCAGATTCTGTTAATGTTTTTTAAAGTTTTTTATTGAAAGAAACTCTTTGGGAAATGTTATTTTGTGAGGGTTTTTTTGTACTTATGTAAGTTAAAATACAAACATTTCCACTTAACTTTATATATATTAGGTCACGTAATTTTAAAATATTAAATGATTGATAATTTGACCAGTTCCTCAGTGTTTGAGCAGACCTTTTACTCTTACTTGAGTAATTTTTTGGACAGCTACTTTTTACTTTTACTTGAATAAAAATAGTGCTACTTTTTCTGGAGTTCACTGTTTGGGTACTTTACCCAAAAACATGACTAGTATGAGTTTAAACTACAAACAAGTGGACCCTATTTACCAATTCAGTAACTTCTGATTAACTTTATCTGTTTATTGTGAGAGTAAAAGAGGCAGATGAATGCCCCGCCTTTCAGTTTAGTAGTTGCAAAAAAACAAAACAACAGAAAACAGCTAAACCCTTTAATGTCACGGTTGTTCATTCCACATTTAATATTGGTTAAATACTCTATATTTTGGGCTATAAACTGTAGAAGCTCAACAGAAACGGAGGGAAAGCATTGGAGGAACAGCGGGGTGTTTGTGCAGAGCTGCAGGCCTGGGACAGCAGGAAGCTAACGGCTAACGCTGCTCACGGGCTGGAGTCCCCGGATGAAACCATCATGGCCGCCACTCGATGAGCTGTCAAGCTCTCCACAAAAGAAAAAGGTAAAGAGGAAAAAATACCCCCAACACCCGGGACAACTCCACGTTTACTATGAATTTATCCCACCCGACAGCTTGGTCTGCGGTAATGAGTCGAGTCGGCGTGAAAACGCGGTGCTGTGCGGGAACTTTATCGTAGCGCTTTGTGCTCTGTAAGTTATTTCGTCTTTGTAAGCTCCTCTTCTTAAGCGTCGCGTCAATTCAAACCGCAGTTAACGCCACGAAATGCGTGTTTAGACATAAACAGAGAGGCGCAGCGCCTCTCTTTTCCTATAACTTGTGTTTCTATGTCTTCTCTGCGCGCTGCAAAGCGAGTCTTCATCGCTTTGTTGTGGTTAACTTTAACTAAACAATGGACCAACGACCCCCCCTGGCTGTTTGTACTCGGTCGTTTTAAGTTTTAGTGCGTTTCTTGTTTTGGTTTTCTTTCTAACAAGTCGTAAAAAGTGATGCTTCTAAATTTATTTCGTGTGTTTCTTTTAAAATCTGGTTATGGATCTTGCAGGTGAAGCTATTGTAATTTTCTGCATGTTGGTGAATATACATGTTTGTTGTTTGTGACACACTAATGCCCACAGTGAGGTATTTTGGACCTTGGCCAAGCAACAGGTGGACCTGTTTAAGAACTACAATCTTGTTTTAGGGGCTTACATTTAATTATATTCAAGTAAAATTACATCTCCTGTTCAAAATGTCATTTTTTAAAAACTTCTAAACAATGCTGTTTTTATTAACCGCTGCATATTTTGTGCACCAGAAACTAGAAGAAACATGGATGTTTGCACAGCCACCTCAACGGGCCACAGAAAACTGCGCGTCAGCAAGAAGAATAGAAGCTGGCACAGACGGCTCCACCTCAGGAAAACTGTCGTTCAGCCCCCAGCTATGCAAAGCCAAGATAAGAATGGGCCAAAGAAGATAGCGAAGAAGTGGGAGCAGACCAGCGTGTGGCCTAAGGAGCCTCCCCGGGAAGCCCGCGTCACAAACGACGGCGGCAGTACGCTCAGGTTCCCCTGCTCTCAATGCGGGGACAACTCGGATTATGCCCCCAAAGACCTGGTGAGGCACTTCATGGAAATGCACGGAGGCAGTCTGCCCGTTTTTTCCTGCCATATGTGCACTTTTAGCGCCCATGAATTTTCCTACCTTCAGGTTCACCTGCTAAGCCACAAAGACACTTTTTCTACCTGCAGCATGTGCAACGACAACATTCAACGCACCTGGCCTGAGTTTAGTGCACACCTGAGCATGTACCACTGCTCGGACGGGAAGTATTCATGCGAAACGTGTAAGAAATTCTCAACATGTGACTTTCGGGTGTTTCTCGACCACATATATAAGCATAATTTAACCGTTGAAGATAAAGAAGTTGGTGGTCAGTTCTGCGGCGGCGAGGCGCCGGAGAAATGGTTGATCAATAAGAGCGTTAAAACTGCTCATGTTTGCCAGAATGGCAACCAGAGGAAAGATGGGAGGCGAATTCATTCCATAGCAATGACACCAAGTGAGCGGATCCCCAGAGTGAAGACGAGGTTAACGAGAAGCACTGTCAGGGACACCTGCTGGTTGACGCAGGACTGTCTGTCGCTACCCGGGAAGGAGTTTCTGGATAAATACTGCCATCTTTCTGACCCACAGACAACGTTAGAAGAGACTCAGCAGTTTTTGATGCAATCTGTCGCAGGGGAAACCGATGACCAGAAGTGGACCAAGGCTCTCAAATCCGTTCTGTCAAACGTCCCTCAGAAAAACTCAGAAAATGGCATCGTGCCCAACACGTCAGATCTCGCCGTCCTCACGGTCAAGAACAAAATAACGTTAGCTCAGAACGGTGCTGCTTACGCGAAAAGGTTGAAAATGGCCTCCGCAGATAAGGAGCCTACCTGTCCCCAAAGCGCCGATAGCGACTCCTTGTGTGCAAGTGACCAGAAAGGATTTAGTCCAAATCTGAAAAACCAGGCGCTTTGTTTGACTGAAAACAAACCGCGCAGTGACTTCTCGTCGTCTGGTGCTGGAACACAGGAAAACCGTGAGAACCGCAAATTAAAGACTGATTCAGAGATCCAGGAAAACAGTGAAAAACTGGAAGAGCCCATAGACGACGTGGGCAAGTCGAGTGATTTAAAGTTGCCGAATGAGAGTGAGGGGAAGATGAAAAGACCACGGTGGAGAAGAAAAGCTAGATTTAAAAAAGTGCAAAGAAAACCAGAAGGAAAGGTTTTAAAGATTGTCATAAAGAAGAATCTGGTGAAGGGGAAGCAGTGGGTGTCTCAAAGCTCTTCATCTCCAAAACATGTTGAGATTGATGGTCATGTGGAGCCGCCGATTCCTCAGCAAAACGCCATCAAAGGTTCCCCGGCGGGCCTTCCTGATCCTTCTAGACGAACTGCAATCTGTGACTCTGTACAGCCAACAGAGGCTAAAGATACGAGGATGGAAAATGAACATCGAGATGATCTAGAGGAGTCGCAGGATTTCTCAGACAGACGCGGATCTGCTGAGGGAACAAGCGAGACGAATTCCGTAGCTGCATCAGTGACCAACGTGAGGACGCCGCACGAAGAGCCAGCGCTACAAAAATCCAACGAGGAGACGGAGGAGAAGAGAAGTCCTGCGGCTTCTTCACCGCATGGTAAGACGGTAATTTGTTGTTCAAACTCTGCAGGCATGAAATGAGTACCGGAAAACCACTTTCTGCGTAGAGTTCAGACTTTATCGCGATATTTTCTGTTACTTTATCTTCAGTTGAGTCAAAAAGCAAAAAAAAAAAAAACACACTAAGCTGAAAAAGCACAATACAAAATTTGTTCAGAAATAGAAGATATTTAATTTCCTGACAATCACAACACAGTGTCAGAATAACAAACTTTTTGTCCCAGATAAATTGTGATAAACAACTTTGTTCTTTGAGATAATCTGATAGCAATCAATCAAAAATCAATAAAAATGTATTTGTATAGCACATTTCAGCAGCAATATATTTCAAAGTGCTTTACATCATAAACACAAAAGCACAAAGTCATGCAACATAGAATAAACAATACATTAAGTCAACTTCCATCACTACATTTTTAATTGATTATGTTTCAAATACAATTCTAAACAGGTGCGTTTTTATTTGAGATTTAAAGGAAGTCAGTGTTTTAGCTGTTTTACAGCTAATCTAAAATCTAATCAACATTTTATATTGGACCTGGAAGACATTTAAAATATCCAAAATAAACAAAACAACAAAGATAACAAATGAAATGACATCTCTTTAAACAAAAGCAAAGCGACTGCTTTATAATGATATCAAATGAGAACCTTTTTAATGATTGGAAATTATCAAGCCTATTTTAATTTGTCATGCTATTTATTGATTTACTGCTAATTGTGACAGACCATGTTGAATAATATTGCTTTACTGTAAAATTTTCCTTTATTAATCTTAATTTTTTTACAGGGAAGGCAAATTTGGACTTGAGCCTTGAACGTCCTGCAGAGCAAAGTGATCAAGGGTCAAAATGCGAAGAGGCGTCCACAGATTTCAGCCAGCATCTCCTGAGCGGCGTCCAGTCACCTGGAGCTGAAGCGAGTCAGCGGGAGCCGTCAGCGGCGGTGGCGGCTAGGCCTCAGTGGCACCTGGTTCCGAAACATCAGCCGAGAACGCTGAGGTTAGTCGCCGTAAATCAGTCCCAGCCAGTCAAACGTCCGGCGGGAGACCAGCCCGTCGTTGTACTGAACCACCCAGACGCCGACATCCCCCAGGTGGCACGCATCATGGAGGTCGTCAACAAGTACAGGCAGGTGCGGAGAGTCCTGCTCTCCCGGCACACTCTCAGGGCTCTATCGGTTCTGAGCGGTGGCGGGGCTGCAGCGATGACGAACAATCTGATGGACGATCAGGGCAAGAACTCGGTGCAGGAGAGGTTCACCCTGAGGCTGAAGTTCCGCAGGGTGAGCAGGAAAAAGTACGAAATTGTGGGCGTGGCGTCGCCGGGCCGGGACGCCTCGTCGAGGATCTCCTGCTGGTTCTGCGGCCGGGTGTTTGCAAGCCAGGAAGAGATGATGCTCCACCGGCAGCGCCACCTGATGGACTGGAGGAAGCCAAACTGTGAAAAGTCTTAAATGTCACACACACTGGATTGGGTGGGGAGAAGAAAAATTAAATCTGGAAAAAAACACTGCAAAAACGCAAAATCTCACCAAATATTTTTGGTTTAGTTTCTTTTTTTAAATATTGTACTATACTTTAAACAAGACAGAACTAACTAACAGTTAGTTTGAGTCAGTAATTCCTTAAAGTTGATAAAAAAAAGTGCTAGTTTCATTTGCACTATATTAAGATATTATGTACTTTAAACAAGCCTCTATATTTTGCTAAAAAGTCAGTTGTAAGTTAGTTTTGTCTTATTTCAAGACCATTAAGACATTTGTACAAGAAACCAGAGCAAAAATACTCTGTAAGATTTTGTTTTTTGTAGTGAAATTATTGTTTTAGGTCTGTCTTGTGATTATTTTTATTTTTATTTTATAAATAAATTGATGATGCTTCCTGGAAGGTTCACATTCTCAGGGTAAACATTTACCTTTTGTTTCTCTTCCAGTAAAGCTCAATACAGAGAGTTTAGTTTATTTTTGTGTCTCTTTTTGCCTCCAAAAAGGTTTTATTTAAAGTGATTTAGGTACACTGTCATGTGGATTTTATAAAAACACTGTAATCTGTTAATTTGCCATACCGTCTGTTTTTGGAAGCAGATTATGTACGGGTAGACTACGCAGTGTGGTAGCTGTCATATTTATGTTATTGGAGGCAGAATGCTGTAAGTTACTCAAATATACCAAATGTGTGTATAAAAATAACAAAAAAAGTACAATAAGCTGTCTTATTCAACATTTATTTATCCTGCTTAGATTTAGTCTTTTAATGCTTCTTTTATGCATTATTTCTAAGGAATCTGTGTATTTCTAAATTCTTTTGTATAAACTTTGAATCATGTTCAGAAAGTATATTATTTACTGTGAGAGCTCTATTTTTCATGCATGTATGCATGTGGGTGTTGATATCCCTGGTCACAATTTTTAATTATTTTCTTCAAAATTGATTTAGAAAAGAGAATAAAAAAGATTTAACAGATTAGATTTTTGTTTTATCTCTTGAAGATTTGAGGTTTGAGGACTTGAAATGATGCTAATTATTGAATTGCACTATAAAATGTATTTTCCCACCCTTTACCTCACTTTTTTAGGCCTTATCCTTTGACAATCCTGCTGTGGCTCTTTGTTTCCCTAATGTAGCCACTGTCCCTTATTTAAATGGGAAATGTGTGCAAAAATCCCTGTTTTCAATGATTTCTTTTTAAATTTATATATATTAGCTTTGTATATAATCCGCAATAGGTACTGTAAAAATAAATAACCTGAGAATATTCACCAAGTGCCTGGAAATTATGACTATGCAATAAAACTGCATGGGTGTGATAGCATTACGAATGAAATTTGCTGTTTTTGAGTGGCGATGATATGAGTCGAAACATTTTTATTTAAATTTTTACAGTAACTCTTGAAGTAAGAAGTCCAGCTCCCTTTTGCTGCAGCAACACTGTCTCATTCCTCATTGATTTCAGTGGATTGTTTCCTGACTGAGCATGAAAAATCCTAATAAAACACAAGTTAAAAATCCCTCTGAGTCCGTCTGCTGCTTTGGTTCTACACGCTAGCTTTTGGGAAGTATGAAATGACGAGACAGCTGACGTTTGGGTACGGGTTGTAAACTTTTCTTACTTCCTCCTAGTTGTAGCGCACCTGCAGCAACACATTTCTAACTGCATATCGTTGCTGGCTTCACACGTTGAGTCATTTGGGTTGTTTAAAGAGACAACACTGCAACAACTGTCGCATATAGAAACCAGATTAAGATCAGAGTTAAACACGCAGAGCCTCTAAAAGTGTTTAGACACCATGAATATTCTTATCATTACCACGAAAATTGTAGAGGAAACAATGCATGGTTGAAAGCTATAGATATTATTTCCTGTGTAATATTCTAATCCAATAAATTAGAATGTTATTAAAAGTTCTCATTTTGACTAATTACAAAGAGATGGATGTTTGAAAACCTTTATTTTTTGTTAATTGTGATGATTTTCCACCTACAGCTAAAAGATATTCAAAATTATTACATAATATTGTATCAAACTACTCATTTCTTCTGGTTCTGGTTCTGGTCTGCTCTGCATCCCCAGAACCAGAACCAAACATGAAGCAGCAGAATTCAGCTTCTGTGCACCACAAACTTTAAGAAAACAGAAAAACAGCCAAAACTAAGACGAAAAGCCCACCTGTTCAGATCTGCTTTTGAGTTTTGATTAATAGAAACTGGAACATTGATCAATATATTTGACAATGATTTTGAGGATGTTTGACAAAATGTCAAGTTTATTGCTTGTTTCATAATTGGTGATTGATATTTTTATGAAACTTGCTGCTGAGATGTGATAAATAAACTTGACTTCACATGACATTTTAAATACATAAATGTAGCGTTAATGAAAAGTATATTAAATATCTGCTTAAAGGTTGTCAATTTTCATAAAGTACTGAATGCATATTCTAATTTATTGAATAAGAGTTTCTGCTGCGCATCCCCACAGCATGATGCTGCCATTTCTTTTTCATCGTTTGTTACAAATTGCAATATTACAGATATCAATGTGCTTTGAAGATCGGAGGTTTAAAAATCTGTTAAATATCCAGAGTTGGGTAGTAAAAAGTTACATTGACTTGAGTAACTTTATTGAAAAAATATACTTTTAGGAGTATTTTTACTATGCTGTATTTTTTACTTTCACTTGAGTTATTTTATTATGAAGTATTTGTTTATATTTAATGTAAAATGTCTGAATTTTCTTCCCACTGAATGAAAAACATCTTTTAACCAAAACTTCACCAGCTACAAATAGACACCTGCAGTTTTTGTCAGTTTCATCAGTTTTTTATTGAAATAAACTAATTAGGAAACATTTTCTTTTGCCCGCTTTTGTTATTGTTTGTTACTTACATGAATTATTGTAATTTTCTCCTTAAAATACCAAAATTTCCACTCAACTTTACATTTTAGTTCATCTGATGATGCAACTTGTAAATATTAAATTATTTTTTACTCTTACTCAAGCAATTTCTTTAAGTGCTACTTTTTACTTTTACTTGAGTAAACAAATGCTGAAATATAAAGTTTTTGGGTCCTCTTCTATCCTCTGTATGTCTTAATCAAGTCAATCTCAGCCCTTCAAAATGTTACTGATTCAGAATCAAACTTTAGCGTTTGTGTTGGTTAATGATTTCTGAATCATAAACCCTGCTACCTCCCAAGTATTTTCAGAGTAAATATTTTGTACCTGGATGTCCAAAACAATATGAACTTCAGAAAATATGCAAACATTTGAGAGCTTAACACAAGAAAAACATATAAATCATTATCGGAATAAAACAAAAACTCACTCTATAGCGCCAGAAAACGAACAGGAGCATTTATTACAATATGAGAAAAAAAAAACAGCACCAGAACAAACCTTTGGGCAAAATGTCTTACTGAGTATTTCTACTAAACAGAACTTAATACATTTTACAAAAATGATCTGTAATGGAAGAATGAACATTATTTTTAAGTAAAGTTTCTGTCTAAAGAAAACTTGATGGTAAAAACGCAAAAACTATAATTACCTCCAAAACGCTCTAATACGCAGGAAGAATTGCGGCAGTCTCATACTTTGTAACTGTTTTTCATTTAGAAAACTATGGAAACTGGTAATAATAAAACAGGTGGCGGTAAGAAATGCAATAAACTGTACACTTTACAAGAATGATTTTTACTGGAAGAGTGAACAACAATAACCTGTTGCTTAAAAAGAAACAAAAACTATGAGCAAAAACTCATCAAGCATGATCACAGAGAGATCAGGATGTGCTGCAAATGTAAAACTCCCTCAGTGAAGCATGCAAGTTGCATTGTACAGCAAGATAATGGTCACAATGTGGGAAAGGACAGCTGGAAGCAAGGAGAATGTAATTTTGAAGAACTAAAACTCCACATAAAGCCACAAGAAGAAGAAAAAGTTTCATCCAGGATATTACTTTAAAACCTTCCTGTTAATTTAGTTTCTGTAAATGTCTCCATGTGGAAGAACCAGGACTGCAGTGGAATCCTGCAGGAAGCTCTTAAGCAGTTCTTTAGTCGGTTTACCGTCACCTGCAGCTCTGTGTTGTACTTGGAAACACGTTGAAAATGGGCCGTAAAGATGCAAAGTGAAAGAACTGACAGGGTCATCTACGGCTTTACAGGAAAAAACAACTTGGTGGCGTCTTTGGTGTTGCTCTGGCTGTCGATCAGAACCAGCAGGTTCTTCTGGTGGTTCTCTATGATGCTAGAGACACTGCTGAAGAACTGCAGGGTAAAAACACAGAAAAACAACCGGTTTATTAGTTTGACACAGAAATGCAAAAGCCTGAATGCTGTGATCTCTAGTGACAATAATATATATACATATATCTGATTAAATACACACTTGTCATCTGCATAAGGTTATGTTTAATTTATTCAACACATTTATTGTTGAAGCGTTCAACACATTTTAATGAATTGTAAAAGCAAGAAAATAAGTGGACAAGTTTGAGTCATTTTGAATTTGAATTTTCTTTGTTCCATCTATACACCTTTGAAAAGCAGAATTAGAGCCTCCTGCACAACCAACAAGAATACACCAAGTGTATTGTGGATGGAAAGCCAACAACTAAACATTTGTTTCCTCCAGCAGCCATTGTACTGCACATACAGCAGTAAGACCAGCTGACCAAATGTACTGGAGTTCAGCTTGGGTTGCTATGTAATGGGCTGAGCTTTACTGGAGTTGCTAGGTAACAGGCAGTGCTTGCAAATTTATGACGTTTTTGAAAAGGCTCATTTTCCAGCCCAAATGAAGGCGCTATACCTCCTCTCCCTTCTTCTCTCTCCCCAGCGCGTACTGCTTGGTGCTTGGCACGAAGCGGATCGGGATGTTGTAGACTCTGCCTCTGTAAAACACCACTAACGTGTAAGGCTGCTGCACATCCTGACCCGAGCTCTTTCTCACCATGAACGCACCGTCCTGAAACAGAAAACACTCCCCATCAATCCCTACGGCTTCCTTGGGCAAATACTTTCATACGCGCTCTCATCCACTCAAACCTTATTTGATCGCAGTAAAGCATCATCTGCTGTTTTGCGGTCACATCCGTTGGCAAACCAGGGTTTGTGATAAACATCTGCATCCTGAAATTAAAGCAGTTACAGAGCTGAAACATTTAAATCAACACTCTTTATGTAAAAGTAGGTGTAAAAGCACACCTTGTCCTGGTCGGTTGACCCGTTTTCAGCAGCGATGTATCCCCGCTCAGCTGGTTCTGGGACAATAACTTGCATCAGTTGATTTGGAAAAACATAAACTTAGTGTGAATGGTTGCGAACGTACGGATCAGAACTTACTGGGTGGTGTTAACTGTGGCAGGGGGATTCTGCAGGGAAGTAAAAAATGAAAAATCAGCAAAATGCAGTAAATACACAGTCAGAAGCTGTGATGAAAGACAATTCATTATCAGTGAAGCATAAAATGTAAAATTTGAGTGTCGAGCGCCTTACTTTGGTCGTTTTAGATCCAGCGAGAAAGCTTTAGGAGACGGTTTCTGTTCTGTGTGCATCACAGGCAGGGAGGCGCCTTTGAAAATGCAGACATCCTGCAATTAGCTGCTTTTCTACTTAGTTATTAGTGTAATGACGCTTTCAAAAAAATAAACATAGCACTAAGAATCTTTCAATTGAATTCACTTACTTTCAAATTGTCTTGGTTTCATGTCTTGTCTCTGCAATAAGACACATTATTAGTGTTTGGCATCATAAGGTGAAAATCAAGTCAAAAGGAAAAAGCATTTTCTGCAACAGGATGTCCAAACTGTGGCTCCGGGGCCATTTGCGGCCCTCTGGAGGATTTGATTTGGGCTCTCTGTCCATAATTTAAGAACGTAGCAAATTTGAGATTAATTTGAGAATTTCACAGAGAAATAAAATCTTAAAACAATATAAAGGATGTCTTTATTTTTTTGTAGATATTGAGGACAATAAATCCCCAGAAAAGTTATAAAAATATTTACCTCTCATTTGAAACAGCAACTCTCCAAGACTGTGTTTGACAATGATCTCCAAAATTTGAACTACTTTGCTTGTGAATTTAGTATATTATTCAAGAGATAAAAACAATAAATGTCTTAAGTCCTCTCATCTTGACATATTGGTCCTAATACCAAAAGGTTTGGACACCACTGGTCTACAAGACTTTATTGTTATTAATTTATCAGCATATTCTTACCGGCAGTAGAGGCGGCTTTGGTGACCTCCTGTAAACAGATGAGATACAGTTTTAACCTTGTCATCAAGTAAATGATGTGTTTCCAGAGTGAGTAGTGCTTACTCTCTCTGCACACGAGGAGGAGGACCGCCTGGAGGTTCATGACTGGAACCTGTGAGTGGGCAAACAGTGCAACTTAAAATATCATTTTCTGTTCTAATTTACTCAAGTTGCATATTGTTTACAAAAAAACCACACTTTTGACTCTTTCCTTCTCTTTTGAACTAATACTCACTATTATCTTGATCACAAAGTTCATATTCATCACCATCTGTGGGTTGCTGGATCTGAAAAATATGCAGTTTATGTCCAAGTTCAGCTGAGTCAACCATTTTAAACCAACGGTTCAACATCTGATGACACTTACAGGAGTGGGTCCCCATTTATTCAGCCTGTAAAAACAGATTGGCATAAGTGTTAGCAAAATAATAGCTTTGGTTTGATCTATTGTCCCTTTGCACGTGACGTCACTCCCACTCCGCCATGACAGACGTCAAAACAACCAATGCTCTCCTTTAAAGCTAGTCAAACATCTGTGACCTTTTTTTTCTTCTTTTTTTTTAGTTTATTTGTTTTGTTTTGTATGTGGGGTAATATACACAGTGTAACATTCCGGTCAACACACCACTACTCTCCACTAGATGGCGGTAATGCACCTCAATAGCTTGCTCGTCAACCACCATAAAATAGAAGAAGAAGAAAAAAAAAGACCAAATATCGCTTCTATTTAGTTGAATTCACTTTAAAATGCTCGTAGTATGCTGCGCGGTCGGCTTAACAATCAGACAAGGATGAAAAGAAAGCTTTGTAAAGGTAAGAAGATTAACTTTTATATACTAGAAAGATCTCAAATATCGCATTCTGTAAAAGGTACGCGTGTGATCGTTGGTAACCATGGAGACAGTGCCGCACCGTCAAGTAGCCAAAACCAACACCCAAAAAACTGGTTAGCATCTCGTCTGTTGTACCTTTTTAACGCTGCTCAGGTGTGAAGGCAAACACTGTTTATGGCATAATGATGTAAATCATGTGGTTTGAATTCAGGCAAAGTCGGTAATTTGATCAAAATGTCAGGAGGGAGGCGGTGTGGGTCGGTTTCTAAGCTAGGTATTTCAGCTATTTTGTAAATCTGAACTCCAATCAGGTGTGTTACCTTCATAGACAAATTAGCTTGACTCCAACAAGTAGAAGCCATTAATAAACTGGCAAAAACTGTTCCAGTTGCTCTGAATAATACTCCCGTCCCGTCATGGCGACTCAAATGATTTATTGCTGAGGGTCCATTCCTACCTGGGTGTTGGTTTTGGTAAACCAGGACCCGGTTTGAAAGGAGGTAGACCAAATCTATAAAGAGAAAAAAAGATGTTGGATGTACAGATCCTTAAATGTTGACATAACATCCAGACATTGGTTAAATAAAACGGTTTCCTATTTAAATCCAACTATGAATGTGTAACATTGAAAATGGATCTTTATGGACATACTCAATTGTATACAATTTTCTGTCAACTTTAGGATTACACATAAAGTATAAAAGTAACAATTCATGTAGAAATGTACTGTAATAAAGCCTAAAACTGACCTTCTCTCTGGAGCCGTACACTGTCCCTGTAAAAATGACAAAAATTAAAAGTGAACTACACCCTGTTCCACATACAGTATTATTGTTCCTATTAGGTAATTATTGTTCATAGAAAAGTAGTGAAGTTACAGCAACTTGCCTCTTTCTCAGGTTCTTCATATAAATCTGTTAAAAAAATAAAACAAAGGACAAATCAGTCATGTAGCAAAAAAGTCACCTTTGCAACTAAATCAACTATCTGACATTTTCATTTCTATTTCACACATATATAGCACCTAACAACATGTTTCACTAGCACTATTCCTCAGCTAATTGTCTTAGTTTCATCTTTAGCAGCTTTGCTTTTAGCTTTTAGCATTAGCATCCTGCTTGTTGACTACTATTTAGAAAGGAATATATTTTTCTATGAAATGATGCGAGTTAAAACCAAAATGTTCTTATATTCTGATATCACCACGTTGTGCATGGCCAATAAAATGCTCAACATGGCAAATTATTCCTTGTGATATTACTATTTTAAAAATATTCTTCTTCACAAGCTACTGTACATCTAATCTGTTATTTGCAGAAAGTGCAGCAGAAAGTTGCGGTATTAGTTGTGAGTTAGTTATTTTTTGGTTAAAAACTAACTTTTCTCTGCCTCCTACAGTCCATATTCACATTTGAATTTCTTGGGAACTTTGTGCTGCATGTCTTTAAGTTATTTGTTGCTTGTGTAAGTCATGTCAGCTAGTAATGCTGCAGTAGAAGAAATCTTTTTTTTCTTCTTCTTCTTGTTGCACTTCACACTGTTTTTAAAAAGTGCTGCTACAATTTGTGCAACTTTTCCATTACATTGTTATATATATTTGTTGTCTTTTTTGAAGCACTACATACAAGTAGTTGCATTTAAGAATGCATTCACACCAGTCTTGTTTAATCTGCTTTTATAAAACTTTATTTGTTTGCCTCGAAAGCCCGGTTTGTTTCTGATGTGAATTCTGGTCCGCCGAAACTTCAGTCTCGGTTTGGTGAAGTGAACTGTGGTGAGGTTTGAATGCTTATGTCGAGTAACAGAAAGTTCATTAGAGCACAGGGCAATCTGAGTAAATACAACCAACTCAAACGAGAGAGTCTAACAGTAGCGGGAGAAATGATTCATAGTCTTTTACAACAATAGAGAAATAAAATCTGACACTACTCCATTTTTAAAATACATTTTATGAAGAAGGAAATCGGGCTAAATGTCTTCTTCACAGGCTTTCATGTCATTTGTTCAGTGGTTCTTGGTGCAGCACCGACACAGGGAAAGAGGGGAGCAGCTTTTTCAATTAGTTTGGATCATTTGACTCAGTGTAGCATGAAAACAAACTGCAGAAGCTGTAAATGCACCAAATGGTGCAATTTTGGTTCTCAATTGATCTAAGTCTTCTAGGAAACACTCTAAGTTGACAAAGTGTAAATAATTGATTTAAGATTTACTTAGCAATGTTAAAAGTAAGGTTTCATTTGATCAGCATATTAAATAAACTCACCTTCAGGACTGGATGGACGATCTGGTAAAGCTGGAGGCAAAATGGGATAGTCACCTCTGTTTCCACCTTCTAATGTGGAGCGTGAGGAAAGGCAAGAAAAACACTTGACAAATTATTAACATTTCATATAAAAATTCACATTTTCTGCCAATTGTAACCAGATGTTCCTTTTTGTATGTTTTAAGAAATACTTACTTGGAGATGAATTCTCTGTGGGTTCTATATAATCATCTTCACCATTAGCATCTGGGTCTATGTAGTCTTCCTGCAAAATAAATAAAGTTTTAATAAAGGAAGGCATTTAATAAAGGTTAAAATGAGGTAAAGAAAGCTGCTTCACTTCTTTGTCGTTCCATGGATGTGGTGGTTCAGGAGGAAGTTGTTTGGATGCTTTAACAGGACGGATGGGCTTGGGAGGTCGGCTTGGTCGGGCATGACAGCTGTCTGGAAAGAAGAAGAAAGACAAGAAACAAAATATCAAAGTATTTGTAAAAAATAGCTAAAATAAAAGTTTAATTCTTTGTTCAAGTATTTAGTTCAGTGCAATGTAAACATTTCTTTTTCAGGATAAATTATTTTACTGATAAGCAGCAAGACTTATTTGTGATGGTCGCTAGCTATAAATGCTAAATTGTAAATGCTAACATGCTCAAATGTTACCATGTGTGAACGCTGACATTTATTTGTTAATCTGTGTAGCATTCAATTTTAGCATGCTAACATTTGCTAATGAATTTCAAACAGGCCCAACTTAAGACAATTGGACAATTAGTCCTGCAGCATTTTTGTCAAAACTAATGCTAGTGGCTAAAAGCTAAGTTGCTGAAAGTGAAGCTAATCCAATTAGCTAGGAATTAGGGCTAGTGTAAGATGCTTGTGTGAAAACCTATTATGAAAATGTTTTTCTAATTATTTTATGATTTACTGGAAAACAAAACCACTTGAAAATGACTCATATTTTGGAAGAAATTAGTCAATGTATCAGATATTTTCTGGTTGCAGTACTGACCGAGATACTCCCCCTTTGGTAAGGAAGGGAAGGGACTTCTGGTGAACTCTCTGTGGACTGGAGGAGGCTCGTAGCTGTCATCATCAGGCGGGTCATCGCATGGCTCATTCTGGAAACAACACATTTGTAACTCTTCAAAGGAATATCTGAAAGCAAAACTACTGGTTTTGAATTCATGTAAAATGACTTACGTATTCTGGATCAGAGCATTGATCACTGTCTCTGAAACCTGCAAACAGAAATTAATTTAATCATAAATGGAAACTGAAACTTTTTAAATTCGCAGTATATCTAGAAAACCCCCAAACAGTCATGTGCAGGTGTTGGAGCACTTTGTCTATTTTTAGAAAGATGGCTGGGCTTTGAGTGCACCTTCCTGTTGTAGGGGTTAGCGGAGTGTGTCGCCTCACTTCCCGAACTGCATCCAAACAGATTTATGATGCATTTAAACAGAAACTGCAATAATTTAGCTCATAAATTCACTCAGGAGGTGAAACTGCAGTCATTCAAAATGTCTGTGAATACAAGTCCTGATAAGAACATCTTGATTGTCTTAATTGAAAGCTGTGTTGAATATTTGTTATATTTGATTAATGCAGTTATACAGCATCATTATTTTTTGTTATTAATATTATTTTGGACATATATTGAGCTGTTATCGCTGAATTCTTACCTCTGTAGTCTCTGGCAGGAACTTTTGGACGAGGTTTGGTTTTCAGTCTGTAATAAATAAAACAATAAGAAAAGGAATAATTATTTATGATTATCAATTTTTTGAGCTCTGCCACATCTGTGAAGAGTTTTTCTTTATAAAGTCTTGGCTGTGAGACTTTACAAGAACCAAACATAGACAAGAACCACTCAGAAAGAAAAAATATAATTCTAAAAGCTCATTTTCTGTTTTCCATAATGTTTATGTCTATTAATGTTGATTATGGCCTACAATGAATATTACATCAGACAAGGGCAATAACAGTCTTATTAAATAACAGCGTCTTCACTGTTAATAACTTAACAGTGAAGACAGTGAATGGACAATAAATGGACAACAAATATCTTGTGATAGACATGAATCAACATCAATAGATAATATGTCAACTAGAATATCCAATATTATAAATGTAGAATATTCATTGAACTCTGCACAACATTCTGGGAAATGTAAGCAGAGGAAAGACGTTAGCCTGGTGGAACTCGCTCACTCACCCACCAGTTTGGCTGTATTTCAGACATTTAAAACAAAAACAAATCAATAATTATTGGTATTGACGGACATGAAAAGCTTACACTATTAAAAGTTTTTCAGCCATACCGCCCAGCCTTGCAGAAGACCAATAAAAATATGTCCGCATACTAAACAATGTGTTCGTTTATTTGAGAGTGGATGAAAGCTGCACTTGGTTGAAGCTCCTTTTGAATTAATTATTATAAATATTGTATGGAGTCCACTCTCATCAGACATTGTTTTCTGTTTGTTGTTTTCGAGATCGACTGCTAATCATTGCATTTATCAGAAACAAAAGCTTAAAATAACCATTCTGTGTGTAATAAAACTAGAGTCTTACTTTTTAAACCGAATTACTAAAATTAATCAAATATTTGCAAAGCAAGGTGAGAACAAACAGACTCATTTTAGGAAAGGAAAGTGAGAGAACGGCCATCTGTTTTAGGTATTTTTGGTCCGTGTGCCGCTCTCTTTCCAACGTTTGTGAAAGAGGAATTGGCGTTGTCCAGTGAAGCGTGCACTGTACGCAAACCGCACTGAGAACTTTTAGATCAGCCAACTTCGAGACAAAATAAAAATCCTCCTACATAAAATAGACAAGTAGACAGAAATGTTTCAATCATTTCTTGTAGCTACAGGCACTTTTAAAACAATGCAACTGACAAAAGAAGTGAACAAAAGAGTTGTTGCTGATTTAGTTTTAGTGAAGATGTTGCTCCACTGTAAAACATTTGAGTCACATTTAATTGTGCCTACTATCTTCTACTTTTTAAAGTAAATTCAACCAGTTTTACATTTCGAGTCTAATTGTGACTTTGTGAAAGATAAACTTACAGTAGTAAGTTGTGTTAACTTTTTTAAAATTTTGTCAGACCTCCAAGAGTTTTTAGATTAGGACTTAAAAATCTGAAAGAAGAAAAATAAAGGAATGGAAACTATTTCCCAGAATGCTTAGCAGCATGATTTTGTATCCTGAGATAGAAGTGCGTTATATTGATCTGACTCTGGTGTTATTAAGGCAAATGTTAATTTTCATGTCCTGTTCTCACTAAATGTTCTTGAGCAAAATTCATAGTGATGTTTAATAAAATTTATGATCAGATAAGAATTTTTTTTCATGCAGTTCAAAACAAAAATTAAAATTATTTTAAAGTAAAATAAATAGTCATTTTAACTTGACAATGCATGGAAATAATACAGAAATGCTCTTTAACTAGGTGACGGCAGTTTTTTTCTTGCATTTGGTGAAATAATTATTGGTTTAAATTGCAGCATTAAGTAAAAACTCACAATCAAAGATTAATGGACAAAAAGAAAATGTTTAGACAACTTGGTGTCACTGAATGATTTAGCACCAACATACATAATAAGAATCTGTTGTGGTATGAACTTATCAGGCGACTCAGGTTTTCTGGTTTTTAAGTTCCTTTGCTCTGGAGCAAACTTCCAGAAAACTGTAAAACTGCTGAAACACTGAGTTCCCTTAAATCTAGATTATAAGTGAATTTGTTCAGATATGCTGCCTGTGATTAATAACAATTGTAACATCATAAAGTGATCAGTCAGTCATTATTTTTTTGCTCACTCTGCCCCTGTAATTGATTGTTTTCTTTTTTTGTTTGCTTGTTGATTTATTTTCTGTCTAATCTTTTAAAGCACTTTGAATTGCCTTTCTGCTGACAGTGTGCTATACAAATGAAATTGCCTTGACCAAGTCACAAATGGAAGATGCTATAAAGCAGCTTTATTACCAAGACGACAGGATATTTTAGACACTGACCTTTTGATTTTATTCAGCAAACTGCCATCATTTTTCTTGATGTCTTGAACCATTTTCTGAAGTTGCCTGAAAGACACAACACTGCCATTCAGAAAAATGACCTCATCACATTAATTCTTCTTCTTTTCCCCCCCACTCTCATTTAGTTAGAAAAACCTTAAATTATCTATTTGAGAAACCAGATAAATTTGTACTCAGAGCTTATTTAACAACAAATATTAAATTTAAAATCAAGTTCTTACCGAATTTTTGCTGTTGCAGGCGCCGTGAGTTTATTCAACGTATCCATATTTACATTTAACCCAAGAGTTGACATTTTCCGAATTTTATTCTTATCATAGGTATGGACGATGCTGCCGTGTTGTTAGCAGGTTTGCAAACGAACGCTCTGTCTGACTGTCAGTCTTGAGAAAAAGGGGAGTGGTTTTGTTCCAGTTGCCTGAGTCTGAAAAAAATCACTTCTTGTTTTTGACCACACTTTCTTGCATCACATGATGCTTTGTGATTTTCTTCAATGTCGCCCTTTTTCCAGCACCAGAAGTTGCCATTTTAACACCTTTGCAGGACAATATGTAATAAAACGACATTTTTGATAGAAATGTATTGAACACTGTAAAAACACAAAATCTTACCGAGTATTTTTGGTCTAGTTTCTACACTTGAAATAAGACAAACTCACTTAAAAGTATCTTTTTCGCATGCTGTGTGAGCTTGTTTTAAATAAATAATTCCTTAATACTTTTTGCTTCCTTGTTAACTTAAATTAAGTTATAAAATGAAAATATATTTTTCTAAAAATGAAATGTATCTATATCATGCTAAAGTTACTTTTAACAAGTGTACTAGGATATTTGCACTAGAAACTTGGTGAGGTTTTGTTTTTGCAGTGTAGCAATTACAAAACAATGTATCAAATAACAATCCATTCAAATGTATTGATTCTTTGAAAATATTAGAGCATTCAGTAGAGTGATAAAGCTGTAACTTTATCTAATTTAAAGTGTGATCATGTCATGGAAAACACCGTGTCGCAATCCCAAGTTTGTGCTATTCATAGTTCCTTTAAAAAAATGAGTCTGCAGCCTTTCCTGGGAAGAAAATTACCACATGTGCGGTTGCCATGATAATTTTTTTTTTTGACACTTATTTTAATTTGCCAAAATAATTGCTGGGACAGCACATGATCACAAAAACAGGAAGCAGTTTTTGCGAAACGTCCACATTATTCACTGACAAGGCTTCTGGATGTTTAAGACTTTGAATCATGAGAGAAAAATAGAGTTTAGATGTAAAAAAGAACATGAAACTTCACGTGGTTTTTTTCTGTGAAGTGAGTAAATTTTGACATCCTGTGACTTCATGTCCTCAGCGTAATGAAGTCCACATGTAAAATTAGCTTTATTTTTAAATCCAGAGTGTAATTTTAAATTCTCACTTTGTATGTGTGAAGCTCTCAATGTTCAGACTGCAGATTAACTGAATGAGAAAAACAGAAAGCGTGGTGGAGTTTTTAGACATCTGGTTCTGTGGAACAAACTTTAAAAAAAATGTTATCTGGAAGAATCATAACATATTACATGTAAGATTAGAACTTTACTTTTTTTATTATATTGTCTTGCCGTAAGTGTAGTTTTTTTCTCTCTCTCCATTTATGCTTTATTTGCTTGTATTTTGTGTTTGGATGAGGTTATTTCCTGGACAGTGCATTTAATTAATCTGATTAATACACCTTGGCCAGAATGTTTATGTTTTCTATGTTTTCTCGTGATTCCTCCATGAACAAAGTGAGCGCACTAATGCTGCAGCTAAATCTGTTTTTTGTTTTTCATGTCTAATAATAATGATAATAAACTTTATTTAGTGTGCGCCTGAAACATATATGTCACCATTTTTGTTTACAGGTTAAAATAAAAACTAGAATCCATGTTTAGCTGAATCTCTTTCCTATATTGTTTCCATTGACTGTATGATTTAACATTTCGAAAATAATTTGGCTTCATGGAAACATGGCAATTTTGAAAAAAAAAAAAAACCCTCAAGGTTTTGGACAAAAAGTTTTGGTGTTGGGATGAAGTTTTTTTTTATTTTTTGCTGTGTCAAAATTAATTTATTTTGCAAAATTGCTATGAAAAAATGTTTTCACACAACAACAGGAGTTTGTAACAGGATGTTGCCACTGGCGGAAACCACAAAGAAGATGATAACAGGAAGTAGTTCGTGGATCATGGCGTTGCATGTTTTTTTTTAATTAATTATTGCATGAATAAGCATGAATTTAAATTAACTTTTAATTGCAAAATTCATTTTTTTTTCTAAATTAACAGAGTCTTCACAAGGTTTTATGCACATGTGTATTGGAAAGTATTCCTGGTTCAGGAATACATACTCTATTCTCACTCTTTCTTCCCTGACAGCAATTATTAGCACTATTTCTGCCAATACCTGTGCTCTCCTTGTTTGTCAAACATGCACATGGTTTGTGGCTTGTTTTTTTTTTTTGTCAACTTCCTGTCCTGCAAACCTCCTGTTGATTGCGGCAGATGGTCATACTCAGCCTGGTTCTGCTGGAGGTTTCTTCCTGTTTGAAGGGAGTGGTTCCTCTCCAGTGTCACCAGATGTCTACACAGGATGTTTACTTTAAAGAAAACTTTTTTTAACCAACAGGCAACACATGCTCAGCTGCAGTTATTGTGTTGCATTGTGCAAATATAATTGCAAAGAGATTATTTATTTGGATTGGAATTGGATTTTACATGAGATAATAGTAATTACAAAGAAGATTCTGATATATTTACGCCAATGGAACATGTTCCATTCGCAGGTACTGCAGGATCAGAGGAATAATTTGAGTGGTTATGTTTAACACAATAAAAAGACAAGTCATGACATGTTATGTTGCTTTAAAGCTTAATTTCCACAATAATACTGAAAATGGAAATGTTAAGTGGTTGGTCAGAATAACAATTTGTAGTTGCAAGGAAGATTCTATAAATCCACTGTATCCTTGAAAACCTTAACCTTGCATGTTAAAGGCAGGCTGATGTGGAGTGTTGCCTTTTTCTCTGCAGAAATCATTTTACTTGTGGACGAAAAATATCAATTTATGGCTCATCTTACCAGAGAACCTTCAAAAAATATTTGCTCTGTGCCCCAAAAAGCTTGTGCAACTCCAAATGGGAGTTCTTCTTTTAAAAATGGTTTTCTTCTTGCTACCTTTCCACAAAAGCCCAAATTGTGGCATGCTAACTGTCTCTTTGACTGTAACAATTCTTGGTCGGCTTGCATTTTTACCTTACTCTTCACATTTTTGACAATTTATCACCTCGAAATGCTTTAAAGAGATGGTCTTATGTATTTTCTAGCACAATCAAGTAACTATGTTATGTCTAGTTGTTATAGAAAGAAATGGAAAGAAATTTGACTTTATAATTTAACACTTTGAAATTGGGCTTCTGTTTCTTTAAGAAACTCCTGTTTTCTCTGAAACTCCACCTTCAGGAAGTCATCTCAACAGCTGAATGGTTACAATGGGAGGTTCAAGGATTCCTCAACCATGCACGAAAGAATCAAGGCAAATCTCCAGGTATGTTTTTTATGAGGGAATAACTTTATAACATGAAGTAAACCTAAAAAAGGGTAAATTTACATGATACTGCCCCTTTAAATCTCTCCTGAACTTTCACCCTGGCCTGTCTGCTTTGTTTGGTCTTCATGATGCTTTGCGTTCACTAATGTTCTGATCATGGTTCCCCATCTCTAAATGCTTTGCAAGCATTCCTGCATGCATATTGATAAAGTTTACTGTCTGTGGAACATCCTAATACAGAAAAACACATAAGAAATTATAAATGACATTACATTGCAAAATACAAAGTACTTTAAAATAACTCGTAGCTTGCAATGCAAAAAGAAAAAAAGGTAATAGGTAACTAAAACAAAAAAGCTCCATCTAAAAACATCTCACATGGTGAGATGTTGATGACTCAAAGTCTTCTGGAGAGAAATGCTGAGAGCACAAACAGGTTCTTAAGTTGTTTTTGTCTCTGGAAAAAGTTTAAAGAAGCAATTTAAAAACAGACAGTGACGTGGTCTGGATGACGTTCTTTTGCAAGTAATTTTTCCACAATGTGGTTCTTATGTGGTTGAGTTGAACTCTTTATAAAGGAAAAAACTTCCTTATTTATAGAAACAGCTGATGCAATATATGCTATGACATGTTACAAAAACTGTATTGAAACAGATTTTGCTATTGTTTCTGTGGATATCTAATTGAAATATTATACAATATGAGAGAAATGTGAAAAAAGAACATAGCCAGTCGATCTTTTTAAACATTTTGTTTTTAATCCCATGGCTCTTCAACATTTATGTCAGCTTTCAGGGATTAATCTTTGCTTTGAGATCTGTTCATTACATCTTGAGAGCTATTTCGATCTTCCTTTGACGAGTTTCAATATCTGAAGCAACACATAAATCAGGACACGTTCTGTTTAATTTACATGTTTTGGTGATCTTGCAGAGTAATGTAAAAAAAAAAAAAGGCAACATACCATGTTAGACCAATAAAAGTCTTTCTAATTAGTTATTCCTGAGATCTTAATGGGTGTCTTATGGAATCAGATTGTATTTTTGCAAACATTTGTAGATTTTAAGCTTATCACATTGTTTACTTCCTGGTTCGGTAAAGGGGTCATAAAAAGCCACGCCCACACAAACATCTGTCTTTCCCAGCTGCCGCCACCAGTTAATTTTGCCACCCATAAATCTATATGGGTAGTAGTAATTAGTTCCATTCGTAGTAGCATTTAACTGCATTAGCATCTAAAACAGCTTCCAGTACTACCTGTCTGATGTTTCTCTTAGCGTTTTTTGCAGCGGGCTTTCAGTGCTCTGTGGATAAAAACTACATTTATTTTTTTGTCGTTAAGGTAACAACCATCTGTTGGAGCCTTCATCAGTTTTGCTCAAACAAATGACTCAACGGCTTCTGGAGAGAAATGTTGAGAGCACAAACAGGTTCTTCTTAAGTTGATGCAGATTCACCTAACATTTTTTTAACAGTGACACCTTGTGGCCTTATTTAAAATTACTGTCATCAACTCAGCAGGTGAAAAATATAACAAATGGTCTAAATGTTTTGAAGTAATTCTATTTTGACATATCACAAACAGCATTTTTAAGGTAATAGACAAATTACAACATATTTAGGCCAACATGTTCAACTAACCATTAAAGCACTAAAAACTTCCATATGAAATTACATATTCTTCTAAAACTGCAACTTTTACAATAAATTAACAAAATAAGGAAGTGCATTTCTATTACTTTTGTTATTTAAATTTAAATCTAATAATTCAAGAACTTCAAAAACAACATATTTAAATCTTTCCTAATAATCTGAACAGAAATTCATATTCAGCAAAGCTGGCACCGCAAAAAGGGGAATTTGTTTCAGGTTGACAAAAGGTTACATAACCCATAAATAAAGAGGAAACGGACATTTCAGAGTAAAATGAATTTGCAGTCAGACATAACCAAATCTCTCCTGTCTCTCTTTTTATCTATATATCAAAACCAGCTGCTGCACACAGCTGTAAACACAGCATTTTCTCTTCCCACAATATTTCCAGAGAACTCAGACATTTTGTAGCTTTAGTGGGATGGGCCAAGTTTTTAACTTAAAGTTCTCTGAGAATCACAGCAAGTATGTGACTTCATGTCTTTTAGCAGCATTTATTTTTGGTTCATTTCATAAGAAATTATCAGAAATTTCAACACTTTTTCTCAGTGATACTGAGCTGTGTTTACTATCTTCTGTTCAGCAAGTTCTAGATTTCGAATCAAAATGTGAGTTTGTGAAAGAGAAACTGACAACAGTAAATTGTGTTAACGTTTTATTAATTTTGTCGAACCTCCAAGAGTTAAAAAAAAAAAAAACGGAAAGAGGAAAAAGACAGGAGTGGGAATTAGTTCCCAGATTGCTTAGCTGCATGTTTTTGTATCCTGAGATGGAAGTGTGTTATATTGTGTTATTTTATTTATGCAATTTGAAACAAAAATGTAAATTATTTTAAAGTGAAACTAAATTGTTATTTTAACTTGATAATGTGGGTAAGTTGCATTTTCAAGCAGGTGGACTTTCATTTTCAAGTTAACCACTTTCAAAGGTTTTACAGTGCGACAAAAAGCTAGAAAAGTTTACACACTTAGACTCTTTATAAGTTTCACTTGAAGAAGTTTGACTTAGACATTTTTACACTCTCAGTTTTACTGGCAGTAAAAAATGCAATCTTTTATTTTGGCAGTAAAAATTAGAGAACGTAGTGGTCATGAAAATGAAACGACTCACTCATAGAGCAGTTTGTTTTGTGTATGCAAATGAAAATACTAAAAATATCTCATAAGAGCTGGACTACTCTGAATCGATTAAGTTGTGGGTTCTACCTTTTTCACCTTAAAAAGGTAGAAATTGATGGCCAATCCCAAATAATATTATTCAAATATTATAAGGTCATTTTAAAAGTGTGTCTCAGCAGAGCCTCAGCTTGTTTATGATTCTGTAGTTCTCAATAATTTTCATAAATTTATTTTCTGCATAAATAAAAAAGTAAGTTGGGGGTTACTTACGGCTGCTGAAGGAGGCTGAACTTTCTGATGTCGTACTCTGTGAGATTCTGTCAAAACATGAAATGAAAAGAAAATAGAATTTACAGGTGAATCTCAATTAGAAATGATCATAAAGGGAATTCATTTCAGTAAATGATCTCTGATAGAGCTCTAAGATTTTCTGGTAGATGGTTGGAGGGACTTTGGACTTGATAAAAAAGCTTCTCTGCTCTTCTTTCAGGCTCTGGGATCTCAATTTTCAATTTAAACAAAAACTTTCCTCATTAGCCCAAGTAATGTTTCTGACATCCCTGCTTAAGGAACAGTTTAACACAAGAAAACCCCTAAATGGGTTTGTTCCACAATACTCTTTCATCCCAATTGCTACTAAACTTTTTCCTTCCACTCACCTTTCCACTGATATTCTTGGATACAACAATCTTTGAGGATCCAGCTTCTTTCATGATGACTCTTTATGGATTTTACTCACTTTTTGAATCAAAATAAAGGAATATTTATAATTTTGTAGATATTCTTATTTATTGATCTTTACATTAGAACTTAAACTAATTTAAGCAGGTGAACAGTGAATGCAATATCTACTTAATAACAGCAGATGGCAGCATATCTCTGAAGGCTATTCACAAACAGTGCTCAGTTAGACATTTAATGCACTTATTGAAAGTTCATTTGAATTGTGAAGCCTGCAGATTAGAGACACTTGCAAACATTGTGTTAATATATTACATTTTAAACAATCGTATTATTCTTTTGTGGACAAGATTTACACAAACTGGAAGCTGAAATGGCTAAAAACTCACCACAATAAGGCCAAAATTCCAAACAAATAAATGAAAACATGCAAAAAATGTGTTTGGATTTCGATTTCAATTAATGACATTAAATGTTAAAATAAAAACTTAACCAAAATGATCAAACATTGAAGAATTAATGTGCCTTTCTGTTACACTGTATTTTATTTTGTCATTTTTCAACATGTGTGTTGTTGCAGCAAGATAATTGTCACTCCTAAATGAAAGGAAAAATGATTAGGATAAAATATGCAACAAACCCTGCTAAATTATGTATTCCCCTCTTCATTCATAATTCATGGCTCCAGGTCGTTATTCGCTCTAAGTCGCTTCAGTTTCCAAAATTGCTGTAATGTGATGAAGACCCATGACAGCAGATTTCTGAAAGCCTTCGCATTGAAGTCTGAGGGATGAGGAACGAAAGAAAAGTTTGTCTTCGTATTGTTATGCTAAGATACAAATTAAATACAAAATACGTATCAATGATGTAGAAACTGGCCAATATGAGCCGAGTATGTGAGCATTAAATGAACGAGCAGTGAAGGGCGGGAACGCCACTCCGGAAATGAAGGGGGCGCTATTTTCTTTATTGTACACGATCTTTTTATTTTCTTTGACAGCTGACAGCATTCGTTGATTGGCTCGTGATTTATATCACTGCAACTTAACAGTTTAATCAAGAACAGCAGCAGGAACATATGAACGCATGCGGTAACTTGTGCAGCAGAATGACCGTGAATTAGCAGTGATGCTAGCAGCTAGCTGCTCTGAAACTGTAATAAAGAGAGAAATGGTGCAGCTGTGGTCAGCTTTCTGATGGAGCTGCTCTTTTGTGCCAACTGTGTGAAACTCTGGAACTACATAGTATTAAATTGTGATGTTAATTTTATTTTTTGTTTGGATTAAAAAATAATAAAGTTTAATTGTGGCTATTGATTTACATCCTTTTTCTGCATTACCTGAATCCAAAAGGATGCATTTTTAAAAAAAATGAAGTGCCAGAATGTATTATAGTGAAATAATCATCTGATCTGAACCTTTATCATAATGTCTGAGCCACCTATGAATTTCTATAAGACAAAATGAAATATCTGGGTTTTATTTTAGTCCATCAGAACCAGAACTCTCTCCATTGCTGAGTGTTGCTGCAAACGTCAGCGGAGTGCTGACCACAGCTGCTGCTGCTCAGGTCCTGCCCACAATAGCGAGGAGGAGATCGGATAATGGAAAAGCTCTATACCTGGTGTAGAACTGAATCGTAAATTAATCGGTTCGGGCGCAACTTGCCAGTGGAAAAGCGCCTGTTGTGTTTAACAAGTCAAGTCCTTTGCAGTCCCAATTGTATCTGGTTCCAGTCAGAATACAATAAATGTGAATTGTCACAAGTCTGATGTATGGGACACAAGATTTTATATAATTAAATATACATTAAAGTTACATTAAAATGTTTATTTTTTACATTGTTTTTAGGCTGGAAACAGTCCTTCAGATCTGGCAACCCTGGGCTGTACTACCTCTAGGAATACGCCCATAGCATAGCTGGGAGGCCTTTAGGCAAAGCTTGTGATTTAATCATTTGTAAATCAGAGAGAGAGATCACTTAATACGAAAGGCTTTACCTCCTTCAAAGAACTGAACCTTGGCCTCAGAGAAACACTTAATCATCATTCTGGCTCACAGCAGAGCAAAAAGCATCTGTATAAAATCAGACTTAGCCTTTTGACACAGAATAAAATATCAAATAGTCTATCCCAGTGGATACTCAGGTACTACTCCTAGCGTGAATTATTTATAGGAGTGTCTGTGCTTGTTTTAAATGAGACACAGCAGCCACAATTGTTTTTTCTTTTGCTCTCCAGACCTGGAGTCTTCACGTTCAGCTTCATTTTTATTCTCCAAGTGCTTTTTCAGGTTATATCCAGTCCAGAACGTGACCAGAAAACATGTCTATGTGGCCCTTCACAGCTTGAATTCTTGGATATTGTTGAAGAACGCCTTCTTGATTTACTTCAAGGTTTCTGGAACGACAACCTTGCCTCAGGGTTCTGGTCAGACTAATAGCCATCTAGGAATGTTAATAAGGGAAAACCACACAAATCACAAATCCTAACTTTAAACACAAACTGCATTTATAACTTGAAGGGAAAGATTTCCAACAGAAATATTTTATATTTGCTGTCAAGTTTCAAAATTTAACATTTCCAATTTGGAAAACTCAGCTGCAAGCTCCCCTTCAGGAAACTCAGAGGCTTCACAATCCAACATGGCTGCCATCTCAAAGGTGGCAATAACTGCTATAATAAATTATTTCCTCTTTTGACCCAATCTTAGATAAGCAGAAGACAACAGATGGATGTTTTTTATGTTTTTATTTCCTCTATTGGTGTAATAGTTGTAGGTGATGTCTGTAATTCAATTTCTTGTCCAATAAAGCAAATTTTGATTGATCAGCTAACAACCCAACATTTCCAAATACAAACACCTCAGCTGGTATTATGCAGCTTAAATGGCGAATTAAAACAATGAAAACCTGGATGGCTAGTAGTGATAGTTTCCAAGGAGGAATTTAAATCATTTCTGTTTCTCTTCTGATTAAAACTGACCATAAGTTTAAGGAAAAGAAAACACTTTTGTAAGAGTAAAGTCTCGGTTTCAACCAAAAGCAGGCATGAGGAATGTGGCCATTGTTTCTGTTCATGTGATTTGCTAGTGAAACGTCAACCCAGCTGTTCACAGATTTGTTCAAACTGTTTTGTTTTTGTTTGTTTGTTTTTGGTAAAAATTTGTTTAATTTTGCAGCAGACAGAACGATTTCACAGCTACATGCTCACGATATTACCACCACTGCATGATGTCTCCGGACTCCCAGCATGTTCACAGGGCGGCTTTAAACACTCTAGAATCACCAATGTGACAAGTTAATTCCAGGGAGAAGTGTTTTATTTGTCCTTCCTTCATGACCCAAAACATTCAGTCCATATTTGCCGTTTTTCCATCATATTTCGAACCAAAATTAAAATAAAATTCTAGCAACATCTAATCCAGGAGTGTCAAAACTTTTTGCCACAAGGGCTAAAAAATTCCAAATGTAGCAAAGAAAGTAGTTTGACATTTATTGTAGATACAAAATTTGGAAGCGTTTTTGTTTTTTGATCTGTTGTAGATAGAATAAAAGGAGTAAATTTCCACCAAAAATTCAGATGCTTTGTGATTAATCTCAGCAATTTTCTACAAAACTTTAGAAATTTTTTCTATAAAATTTCTAAAAAAAAATGTTACATCTGAAATTCAGAAATTTTCTACTTTATTGTAGAAATTCTCTGATGAAAATCTAAAATAAAATCTTTAAAGAAAAATTCTGATTACTCAAAGTTTTCTGTGATAGAAAAGTACTACTTACTACTACTACTACAATTTTGCATGTTTTCTGTATTAAAAGAAATACATCTAGTTTTCAGTTTACTTTGGGTTCGATTGAATAAATTTATCTTACTATATTTATTCAAGTTTCAGAAAGAATACAAACTTGGTTCTAAAAAGATGAATACTTTGTGTTGTACTTCATATTAGTAAGAAAATTATATTAGTTACAATTTTCAACCTGATTCCAAATTAAAAGTCTCCATTGGATTCTATGGACCAAATTTGTATCATTTTTTTTAGTGCAGTCAAAGGCCTCAGAAAAATCAGTCCAAGGCCCACAAATGGCCCCTGACCCACACTTTGGACACATCTAATCCATAAAAGTTGTTCTGTCTTTTAACGGATCTACGGTTTACATTTTGAAAACATCTAATGTGAAGCCCATCTCTTGACCTGAGTGCTGTAATGCGTTTATTTAATGTTCTGCCATTGATGGGCTGTCCTCTATGACTGGCCTTTGTTTGTAGTGTTGCTGTGATACACAAAAGCTAAAAGTAACTTCCTTACAAAGCTGCCAAACAGGCAACGTCCCAGAGATACAGCGTGACACTTCTTTGATCTGCTACATGTATTTTCTTCTTACCTTGTCTACCTGTGTGAGCAAATCTGACTTCAAAAAGAGAGATTACCTTTATCTTCACTGTGCTGACTGGCTGTCGTCCTCAGCCCTGCTGTAGTACTCTGAATTAGACTGTATTTTTCACACCTTTCATTCTATCTGATAAACTGACAGGGAAAGTAAGAGGCTGAATATTTTCCTTGGCAGAGCCAGCTGTCATCATAAGCTGCTGTGTTTTTCAGGTGTTTGTATACAATAATCTTAGCAATTTTGAAATAATTTTGGACATTTTATCACTTATTGGAACAATTTATTTTTTCAAGGTGGAACTCAAAAAGATTATGGTGTATGTAGATGAAAGAACTGAAATTATATGGCACTTTTACGGTTACCGTAAAAGTTAACGCATTGAAAGCAAAGCGCACAACCACATCTCTATCACGCATCATGTGCATGTTAGAGAAACCTAAGTTTGTAGCTGATCAGAACGCTGCTGCTCGCATTCTCCCTGTTAAACTCTCCCACAGTTTTAGTGCAATGGTCAATAAAAGCGTGGCAGATGTTATGGTCGGCCAACCGGGTGAAAAGTTAGCTCTTCAGTTTGCAAAGCCACAAAAGAAAGCCGACCTCCACCCCCCAGAACTGCGTACGTGGTAAAAAGCTTAGGTGGGGTCCACTCACCCCTCTTGGAAATGCGCTTTTTAATGTTTAGCTTACAAAAAGAGAGCCAAGCTGCCAAGTAAACAAAAGGAAGCTCAGCAAAAACATTTAGTTTCAAGACGGACAAGGTGTACAAGGCTACAAACAAAATGTTTTGACAAAAAATTTATTTTTTCTCCAGAGTTTTGTTAATAATAAAGAGGGTTAGATGATGAAATAAAATCCAACAATTATTCTTTTAATTTGTTTAAACTTAAAAGAAAATCTGAAGATATGCATAGTGCGAACAGCTGCAGGCGCTAGCTACCAGGGGCACATCGACAACAACAACTCTCCCCACTGAGCCACGGTCATCCCTTATGCACTCTTCTTGGCACAAATAGTAGAACAGAAGTAACAGGAGAGTGAAACTAGCTGGTTTCCTTAGAAAGACAGGACTATTAAGGATAGTCCATAAATTTTAAATAAGGTTCAGTTCTTGGCCACACGCTTAATGTTGACCTACTTCGTCCACTCAGCAACCATTCAACTGTGCCAACCTTAAACCTTGTGTATGTTTTAATGTGAGGGGAGGAGAAATGCTTCATATTTCACACATTTTGCAGAGAACCAAAAACACAGAACCTCATTATGAAGCTACCACCACCATACTAACTGTGTTAGTCTGGTAGACACGGTTTGATTGGGGACCAAAGTGGCTAAATGTTTTGGTTTCACACCGCACTGTGTCAAACAAACCACAACATTTTGAAAATCCTGCTCTCCTCTTCGCCTGTGGTGGCGCTGCATCAATGACCACCGAAGGAAATGACACAAAAACCCATGAAGAAGTAATTGAGCTCAAGTTCCTTCTTCACAAGATGTAAACAAAAATGAAGAAGCGTTTGATTTAAAAAAAAAATCTTTGCTAAAAGACCATGACCAATTTCTTGCACAAGTGCTAGGCTAGCACGTTTGTTTTGGGTGTATTTATGCCCTGTGCTGTAGTCCGCTTTCTGCTTTTGGAAACTGCGCCAGAGTTCACTTCAACCAAACTGCGGCTGAGGTTTAACTATGTATCTTGAATGTTGGTTTTAGGGGACAAGGGAGCAGACAGGCCTATACCAGAAATGATTTAATGAACGGTAATGCCAAATTTAACAGCAGAGTTCAGCAAAGAATGTTGAGAAGAGGAAGTGAGATTGATTAATTGAATATATTATATCTGAATGGAAGCATAGCTTGAAATGGCAAAAAATAAAGACAACATGAGTATCAAGCCAAAATATCAAGAGATGCAACATCAATAATGACAAAAGAGCTCAGGAACAGATGTTAAATGAAAAACAGAATGTAAATAAAACTCACTGTTTACTAAACTAAAAAACAAAAGCGTCGCTTAAAACAGAACCTAAGCCAACACAAAAAGACTTAAAGTGCAGAACAAAACCTTACAATTAAGATGAAATCCTTCAGTTTAATCGAATTTCCCTAAACATGCTACTCATCTGATTATAAAACATTTCTCCAGGTGTTTGTCTTGTCCATATGGACAGCCTCAATTAAGCATGAAGGTGCTGATGTTGCAGACTGTTTGGGTCAGATGGTTGAAACTGGGAAACAAATGAGTGCTGCAATAGGACAATGATGCAAAACAGACATTAAATCTGATACTGGAATAGTATTTGTATGGACTACGCTGAAAAACTAGGTTAAAATCAGGAAACCAATTAGATTTACTGAACTCCATCTTATTTATGCCTTTTAAAGGTGTTGAGTTAGTGAAACTTAGTGATTCTTACTTGTGGTTGGATCAGTGAAAAACTATGATAAATTTAAAACTGCAGGGCATCAAATTCATGTTTTTACATCTTTGACGTTACATTTTTAAAATCACCTAATTTCCTAATTAATCCAACAAAACTAATAAATGTTTCTTTTTGCTTTTCTCCTGAAATCTCCTCTCGCTGAGCACACTGCTGCTTTACATTGGTTAAAACTGAAGCCTTCCTAATTATGCATGATTGGAGCTTTCTGATACTGGAAATTAAATAAAACATGTCTGTGGAAACATGTAGAAATATTCTCTTCCTCAAACAAAACATGAAGTTGGAATGTCTCAGGATTTTTCTACATCACACATAAATTCTGGGTCGTTGTTAGATTTTCACAAATGTAACACAGAATCCTGCCAGAATGATTTTGCAAAATAAAGCAAGAGACATTTGACTGCCAGACGAAAATTCAAGTCGCTGATCCAACTTAGAAAAAGAACTATGTGCCTTGAAACCAAGTGTCTGTTACAACAATGTAGCTTTTAAATTTTACTGCAATATTTATAAATTGTTAAATAATATGTGATTTGTAGCAGAGTGAAACAATCAGTTATAAATTATTTGGCAGGTCAGTTTAACAGTTTTTTTTTAAAAGTCTTTCCCAAACTGTCGTCCCTGGACCACCGGAGGTCCCCGGCGCCTCGAGTGATCCACCTGGTACTGCATATAAACGACCGTTTATTTGCAGTGACGTCAGCTCAAAGTGTGACGCCACAGCGAGTTGAGCAAAGGCCTGCGGTTAAATAAATAAGAGTGGATAAATGTCTTGACATCAGGTCACGCAAAAGAAAAACTGAAGATACCAACGGGAAGAAAACAAGGATAGGATCATTACTTATCTGATCAGAAGAAGTCAAGTCATAAAAGATAATAAATACAGTTGATAGGAATTAGTGGATGATTTAACACTTAATGGTGCAGAAGAGTATCTATTTTTCTTTCATTGTGCTTCCAAATGACAAATAGTCCTAAATGTTATTAACATACACAACACTTACTAAAAAAGAACAAACCTTTTTTAATTTTCACGTGTTTGACAACAATGGAAAGCTTGAAATCCACACTTCCAGAATCTGTAAATAACTTGGTCACCTTTTTTGTTTTCAGGTTGGATTGTTTTATTTATAAATGAACAAAATGCAAATGGGAAGTGTTTAGAATTACATTAAAATAAATTTAAATGCATAACACTGAGGGACAACTTAATAAACACTGATTTGCAATAAGCATATAATTTGTTATATCAAATCCCTTTTCATTTAAAGGTAAATTGAGATGGTTTGGTGGATCTCTCCTTTACTCTAGGCTGATTGCATGAGGTATCAGCAAATATACACAACATTGTCACATTGCATATTCTGTCAAGCTGCGCTCCAGCACAGCAGTGGTTTGGGTTTCATGCCAAAATCAACATGTTGGTGTCACCACAGAGTAAACGGCACCTCCATGTTGCTAAATATCAGCGGGGACATTGTTTCTCCGGAGATGTTTAATCAAAGCAGGAGATCATTACAGTTATTTGGGTAGGTAATTTAGTAAATTATATTATTATTGTCTGTCTGTGTTGTTCAGACAGGCTGATATAGTGGCACTTCACATTTATTGGTCCTTCTTGTTGTTAAAAGTATTAAAATACAGGAATCTTTCATTTCATTTGTATAATTTCATTTATAAATTCAGATTCTAATCAAAGTAAATTTGTTATGTGAAGAAAAAGGGGTGTTAAAAGCAAATGTTTTAAAGCATTAGGCCTGTCATAATAACAAATTTTGCTGAACAATAAATTGTCCCAGAAGTTATTGCGATATACTATGACATTGTCATTTGAGACCATTTTCAAGTAATAAAATGGTAAAGGCATGATATTAATGCAAAAAATACATTCTCAAAGATCAATAAACATGGAATTCTAATGAACATTTAGCTCTGGAACTGGAAGACATTTTAAGTACCCTAAATAAATAAACAATAGAAATGAATTACATTTAAATTAATTAAATTAATTCACCATTGTACAAAGAGACCAGAGATTTTGATGTGATTTTGATGTGATTTACGCTTATCTAGAGCAAAATGTCAAGCATCTTATTTCAAAGTGCAAATGCTTTGAACTGGAAGTGTTGGACCTGTTTTTAGGGCCAGAAAAGCTTTTCGGTGTGAATGCAGCAGCATTAGAGTGCCAACGGTGCACTGATGAAGTACTTGGTAGACTGAATCGCAGTGCAGTGTTTGCTAGCCTAATAGGGCTGAATCTCCCTCTCTCTGTGGGATCTATCAGTCAATATCTCTATGTTTATGTATTCTTCAGCTCTGCTCTGGCACCTTGCTCATCAAAGCCTCTGCTCTGAAAAATTCATCATTTTTTGACTGATCATATTTCCTGTGGAGTCTCCTTTAGGGGAAATAAGCCTGTGAGACACAAGACGGAGCTCAAGGTGAGTAAATAATATGAAAAAATAATGCATTATTGCTGTCATGTAGAACATGACAGGTAGGATGTATACATTACCCTGAACTTGTTCATTTTATAAGGTCAGAACCATAAAGATCAGTGTATTTCTTTCAAATTTTCTGGGAGAAATAAACAATCATTTCGGGAGAAAATGGTGTCCTTTGACCATCCTCCCCTTTTATTCTGATACTCCTAAATCAAATTCAGTGACACTAACAAACTTCAAAAGTATTTTATCTGTAAATTAAGCCCACTTGAAAGTGATCATGCCAGTTATGTGAACCAATGGACATTTTTAAAATAGATTATATAACACGTAGCATTGCAAGGCTGCTTGGAGGTCTCAGTTTAACTTAGTTTTATTCAAGTCAAATATGACTTGAATAAAACTAAGTTTTCTTTTTTACCTTTCTAAAAGGTAAAAAAGAAAAAAAGTAAAAAATGCCTAGTGGAAAAGTATAAATAATACAATTAATATATATAATACAATTAATATCATGCTGGGATATATGTGGCAGGAGAAAGCTGGAATCTAACTTACCCTATTTTCAATATAAAACATGGTAGTGGCAGCATTATGCTTTGGAAATGTTTCTCTTTAACAAGGGAAGTCTGTTCAAATTTGATGGGAAGCCAAAAAAGACTTCAGATGGCAGTAAACCTACAACCAGAGATACAATCTAGCGGTTTAGATGAAAGCATATTCATGGGTTAGGATGACCTAGTCCAAGTGCAGACCTAATTCCAAATGAGAATCTGTGTCAAGACTTAAAAATGTATTCATCTCACTGAGCTTGAGCTATTTTGCAATTAAGTAAAGTCAATAGAAACCCCACAAAAAGACTTTCAGTCTGAATTGTAAAGAAAGGTTCTGAAAATGAAAGCATGCCACACTTTATAGATTTTCTATTTAAAAAACATTGTGGTAGTCTATCGATAGCTCTTTGATTAATGCTAACAGTTATCAGAAATACACATTTTCAACCGTGGAAAACTAGAACATCACAGTTAGTTGATGTCAAATTTAATTTGTTTCAGTTGTTTCAACTGAAATCATTTCTGGGAAACAACTCAAACCTACGGCGAAGACAAACGCAGCCAAAGCGATGAAAGTGACTCTCAAAGCAGAAGTTGCAACAGATTTACTGACTGCTATAAGAGGAAGGGCAAATTATGGGAAGTAATGCAAGCAACTGTGCTCCGTCATGGTTCAAGTCGCGCACGGCCCCGTCTGTTGTCCCACACGTTTGCAGAAATAGAAAAATAAACATAAAAGTTTAGCTGTTTATTTTTAGTGATTTAATACTGAAATCCTCATTTTAATAATTTGCAGTTGGGGAGTCAAACATTTTCAATTTCAGTTTGGGCCACATTGAGATCATGAATGTTCTTAAAGGGCCAGAAAGTATCAATAAACCAAAACTGGAATTATTTATAAAATAAAAAAATAAATAGTATTGAGCATCTTTTCACATCGGTCAGTCCCTCCAGAATTTTTATGTGATTAATTTAGTTTTTGCTCTAAAAATCTGAAAATAAAAATTTTCTTTCGTGATTTTAAAAAATTTGTTTTCAGTGAAAATCAAAACTTTTCTGACGCCAATTTAGAAATATTTGCAAGAAATGTTGAAATATTTGCACTTAGGTAAGATGATAATTGTGACTTTTTATTTCTCACAAATAATTAATCACAGGCTAGAACTTGAAATAATTAAGCCGAGGCACAAATGTAGAAATAAAATATACTGCCACCTTCTGGTGGGAGTTGGCATCACTTCAAACTAATGTTCCTGACCATTTTTCTGGAAAATTTTCAATGCTCATTTATACACAAAGGTAAAAAAAATTATACAATTGATTGATTTTGCATTAATTTCACATTTTCACATTGAAATTAGACATATTGATTAATGTAATTTGACAGGTAAACAGATAAAAACCTCTGATTTGATTAATAAAAGATGATTTAACCACATTACTGTTGCCTGGAAGGTTCGATTTATCTCCACAGTTTAAAGGGCCTCATATTAAGGATTTGTCTATTTTAATGTTAAAATAAAACAAAAACAAAAAAAAACAAAAAGAAAACAAACAAAGTGAGGACAACTTAATGTAGTCTGAGATAAAACTTTTTTTTTTCTGCAAAACTAATGCAAGAATAATTATACTAGTAAAAAACAGACTCACCAGAAGTTTGACTCCGTCAATCTTTAATCTGGTCACAGTTCTGGCGCACTCTTGCATGTTATTCTGATGGTAATCGCAGAGAAACATTATCAGTAGCACATCCTGTCAGTCACGGTTTAATTCTTCAAATGTTGAGGGAAATAGGTCCCCGCCATCCGCTGCAAAACTTTTAGTCATTCCTCTGAAACCCACCTTGGACATAAAAAGCGCCACTTTGGTGTGATCCCACCCCTCACACTCTTCTCTGGTCGGCAGGTTCATGTCTGCTGTTGCTGGGAGCCTCTTAACTCCTGACGCTGTGGTTCCAGAGCGAGTTTCCACACACTGATGGCCCAGCGATGCTTCAGCTTGAAGAAGAACAGGCACCGAGGTCACCTTAGAGAAAAAATACTTTCCCATTTTCATTCTTCATCATACATAAATATCAAATGTCCTGGAACTGTAACTAAAACACAAATGAACATTTCCCCATTGACGGTCTTACGGCATCAACGAAAGGGAAGCTGGAACTTCCTGAAAATATATTCTATTTTAAAATGGCAAGAAACCAAATGTGTCACAATAACTGGGTTTACTGTTAGACTGTTAGATGTAGTGTGAAATGGAGGTTTTATTTTAAGCATACTCATAATACTGCTGATCAGCACTAAATGGAGATTTCTGTAGATTTTGAAAAACCCAAAAGATTCTAAAAACAAAAACAAGTTAAATCCAAGCTTTGTTTACATCTCAAAACACGTAAAAAAATATAGAAAACAATGTTTTTTCATCATACGTCTAATAATATCAATATTCAAGAATCATTGACTGAAAATAAGCTCCTATATCTTGCTTAAAACTTACTTGTAACTTACTTTAATCAGTGTACTAAGATACCAAGATATGTTTACTAGAAACTAAACAAAAATACTTGATAATATTTTGTTTTAGCAGTGAAATCTCACAACACACTCACACTTTACGGTGTAAAGTTAGTTATTTTGTAATGTCCATCAGCATGGCTGCATTTCCTCTTGGTTTAAAGACAGAAAGAAAAAAAAGAAACAAAATGTGGAAATCCTTGAGAATTGTTGCTTACAATTATTATGCAACAATTCTCAAGGATTTCCACATTTTGCTAATTTTTTAATATTTCCATGCAAGTCTGAACTGTTTCTTAAAACAAACGAAGCATTTAAATAACAATAACAACAAAAAGCACTCGTCTGGTTTTTTGGCAACAAGTTAATGATTTTTGGTGTTTTATGGCTTCAAAAACCTCCTGATTGTTGAAAGACATTCAACTGGCATTGCTCTTACCCAGCAATTTAGAAAATCTGCTCTGCATAATAATTCGGAACAAGGCATTTTGAGTTTTCATTTTTGAAAAAAATACAGTGGGGAGCTTTGTTCAGTAAAATTAGATTTATGACTTGAAAATTATACTGACCATGATTTCCATTGACCATTTAAGAAAATCTGAGAAAATATCACTTGGATAATAATTTGGAACATGGTGTCGGTGATTGTTGAAGTTTTAAGATTTCAAATTAGTAAGTAATTCAGTGGTTATGCTCAGATGCTAAACTAACTCTCCGGCTGAAGTGGACTTCCTGTTTGGTGGGTTCCACTCATGCAAATCGAAAGTTATAAATGTGAAGAATGGGGATGTGGATGAATTACAGAAATATTGGCAGACAATGTTATAGATAAGTATTGAAGGGCAGCAAAGACTGGCGTTTTATTGGCCAAAACTTTACAAGATGAATTCAAATGACCAAAGGAAGTCATGTGATTTTATCAAATAGTTTTATTTAGATCCAATTGGAATCCAAGTCTTTCCGAGGTCGACAGTTTGGGCTGTTTACCAAGACCTGCTGAGGGAAAAGAAAAACAAAGAGAGTACACAACGTTAATGGCAGCGGCTTCATTAATAACATTGTCTCAGAAAGATACAAATTCCAAGAAAAAAATGACAACATGATGTTAATTGCAGCAATAATTGCATATAATGCATAAGCAGCGAGAAGACGGAGTAGAAATTTAATAACTGACAAGAAGCTCTGCTTGCCAGTTTGTCCAACTGTGACAGGTGAAACTAAAGGAGTGTCACACTTTACTCATAATATGAATATTTTAGTACCAGAAAAACAAATTAAACTGACAAATCTGAATCAAATTCAGCTGTTTTATTGGTTTGCAAAGGAAGTTATTTTTTTAAACAAAAAGAGGCCGTTCAGTCACATTCACTGAAACAAATGGAAATATTATTTTAAAAAAATTATTATTTCAGTTGCACAATTCACAAAGTGAAACACATTATCTTGATAAATTAGACAGACTGAAGTAATTATGGTGATTTTCTGCTTACAGCTAATTAAAACACAACAATTAAGATTAGAATATTACATCAAGCCAATGAAAAACATTTTTAATGCAGAAATATGACATTGCATGTAATTGTATTGTTAACTTTTCCACAGGAATGTGCAAGATGAATTTGTGGAAGATTATTTATGAGACAGAAAGATTTTACGGAGCACTTTCATTACTGAGGAGGGCAGAGTAGCCAAAAATTACACTCAAGTAAAAGTAGCTCTACTTCAACATATTTTGTAACCAAACATTTTTCCAATGTTAGAAGTGGAACATTTTACCGATGGAACTAGTATTTTTTCATCAATTTTAAGGAATTGTTTACTTAAAATAAGCTAATATTTTGATGATCAAAGTAGCCGAGTATTGTACATGTAAGATTAGCTTAACATAGTTTTAGCTCAACATAGTTTAATGTAAAAAGCAGGATAATTTAGTTGAGTAAAAAAGTATTTGATAAAAAGTTTAGTCAAACACTGAGTAATTGATCAAATGATCAATCATGTAAAATTTACATCGTCAGATGGACCAAAATATAAAGTTAAGTGGAAATTTTGATATATTAAGGACCAAAATCAAAACAATTCATGTAAGTAACAAAAAAATAACATCACCCAAAAGAAAATTTTTCCAAATCAGTTTCTTTCAATATAAAACTTATGAAACTTCAACAAAAACTGCTGTAGGTTTGTGTCTGTGTCTGGTGAATTATTGTATTTCATTCAATGGCTAGAAAATCCACAAATTTGACTGAAGTAAGAGTAGAAATGCTTCATAATAAAATTACAACATGGTAGAAACAATCCTAAAAGTAATTTTAATCAAAAAAGTTACTTACATAAATGTAATTAGTTGCCATCAAACTGTACTCGGGGGCAAAGTTGTTGGATTGTTTTATTTTATTGATATATTATTTCAGATAAACATTTTAATAATACACTTTTACAGTAGAAGCTGAAAAGCATTTTTATTATCTAATTACCTAAATGTGACATGGAAACTTGTAAAAGTTCATTTTGAGGTAATAGCTCCTTTTGTCAACGTCATTGTTTGTTGTAACTGATATATTTTTCTCCTTTTGTTACCCAAACAACCCAGTTTGCTGAATTTTACCTCAACTTCCTCATGTTTTGTTGAATATTTGATTTTGTTTTACTCTTCATGTAAAACAAAATCAAATAGCTCTCGTGTAGAGAGTTTTTCCAGTTATGTTTTCAGATCCTTCTCGCTCTTTTGTTAGTAACCATGTCAGCCTGAGGTTTGAGTCGTTTCTCGTTTTGAACTTCCTGCTTTAGCATCACGTTTTTTTCCCTTTGTTGATTTATAAAAAAAAAAAAAAATTACTTTCCAACTGCTTTGGGAGTCTGTCTTGTTTTTGAGTGCTGCTCTTTGCAAAAAAACAAAACAAAAATAAGATGCTCTTCATGCCCAAAGGTTGTCGGTCCAAAATTTCTTCATGAATAATAAAGTAAAAAAAATATAAAAACAAGGCAAATGCACTCGAGCTGAACTCTTTCTGCAGAGGAAAAACAACTTATTTCTCATCAGACTGGAATAGAAATATCGTTTGTTGTCCCACTGTCACAAAATTCACATGTGCAAACAACAAATAAAAACCCAGAACAAAAAAAGAATATGTATGTGTACATTTGTGCTATCTATTAATAACAGAAAAATAAGGATAACAGGCAGTACAGTGAGGATAAAACTCCAATTAAAACAAATGTGCAACAGACTATTTACAAAAAATAGTCTGTTGTTTTGTTTTCATATTTGTGATCCTTATTTAAAGGACAAATGCATTTGACACAAAATATTTCAAATATTCATTTAAATAAAGTGGAAAGCAAAACAAAAAACATTAGAGACTTTTCTATGTTACTGTTCTGGCATACAAATAGTTTTGGTTAACCTGACTGACCAAAAACAGAAGATATATTTTTTTGATTTGATGTCAAAAGCTGAGAAAATAACTGAATATAACTTATGATTGTAATATTTTGGTTTCCAATGTAAATGCACACATTTTTTCTGTTCTTAAAAGTTACTAAAAGACATTAAAAGTTGTTTTTACCAGTTAGAAATAACTTTTAATCTGTTTGTATCTTGTATGTTTTGAAAAGCTTTCTTTTTGTTTCCAATAAACACACCATGAGTAAAGCTAACAAAGATATGAAGTAAAATGTGCAGATTAACAGTTCCAGTATTAAACCAAAAATAAACCAAAACCAATTTATTACCTGCTAATTAGATGCAAAGAATAGTCTTATTTTTTATTTTTATTTCTTACTGCTGTTTTTTTATTTTAACAATCTCACTCTGAAATATTAATGAACCTAGAAAAGTTTCAATTGAAATGTTTCCAACCTCCTGATATGTTTTTTGTATATTGTTCAATATATAAAGCCTTTTGAGATTGACTTTGGGGCTGACTTTTAAGACATAACCTTCTGAAAAGGATGCTGTCAGATTCTCAGCATTCAAGTTAAGATTTTCTACTTTTTAGCAACAGAAATGCCTAAAAATACTGAGGACTAAATTCATTTTCTCTCGTTTTTGAAAAAGCCTGAAAGTTCCACTTTTTAATATTTCATAACTATAAAATGAAAATACAAACCGACCTTGGGGAATCACCAGGTTTCAATTAGTTTTCAACTTTAAAGCAAAAACAGAAATAAAATTATTCTTTTGGAGGACCAGGATTTAAAATGCAAATAATTAGTACCCCCAGTAAAGTACGTGCAAAAATTTTAAATACACTTTTATTGGAACAACATTATTTTCCACAGAAAATATAAAGAAACATACATACTGAACTTTGAACTGCTCCCAAACCAGGAAGTGGGCTGCAACGCAGGGCATTCTGGGTAAATGCAACCAAAACAAAAGTGCTAGTTTTGCGCTAACAGGGGGAATTCATACAACCACCAAAATCTGAAGTCAGTCTATTTTTGTTTACATTTCGTGAAGAAGGACGTTTGTGCTCAGTGTCTTTACCGTCAGAGGTTTTTGGTGCAGCGCCCCCGCAGGCGAGGAGAGGAGCAGGTTTTCAAAGGGTTTAGTTTGACTCTGAAGTGAAAAAGAACCACAGCAGCCGGTTCAGTTTTGAACCCAATTGAACCGAGCTGACTGGACTATCAGCTGTAAAAACAACCTTAAAGGAGAGATTTAGTCAGGTGAGACTGACGTTGATGCTTTCTCAGTAAATTGAAAACAACTTCATGAGTTGGGTGTGTCAGTGATGATGTTGGCCATGTTGTTTTCTACAAACCCTAGAAACTCTGAGAATGGCATTAACAAGTTTCTTTGAGTTTGAGCTCCATTCTCTATTTTGAGTGTGACTGAATTGAAATAGTTTTTCAAAAACTACATTTAGCATTTATTCAGGTTGTTATTCATCTGAAACCTTTTGCTGTGACCAAAGAACCAGACGCTTATTTAGCAACAACCTCCACAGAAGTTTTCACTGAGTTTCAAAAACCTTTCCTGGCAGGATTTAGCTTCCCTCCAGGGAGGCAGCTGAATCCCAATCACCTGGCGAACCCCATCTCAGCTGTCCTGCCATGTCCGGTTCGTCCCGCCGCTCACTGTCTCATTATGTCCGGACCAAGTCGGCACCATCTGCTCTCCAGCTTTAATTAGCTCACCTCCTAAAATGAAAGTCTTTGTGTGCATTTCCCCAGAGGGCCCCGCCGCTCACATACGGCCTTTGCACACATGCAGGTACTGCATGTGTGCAAGCTGTTGATGATTAGTACCATTTACCGGCGGGAATATGACTGCATGCGCTTTGGTAAGGAACGCAGACTGAAAATAGATTCGAGATGCAAGACCCATTGATCGTTTTAATTTCCAAAGAGGTAATTATAACAAGAGGCATTCTGCTGCAGAGAACAACAATACATAAAAGGTCTTAATTTGCTTCTGCTGTAATTATGCACAAAATGCTTTAGATGCACACGCGGAAACGAGTTGTTTATTTTGGCACTGAATAAAACCTTTGCAGACCTTGATTCTTCATCCAATTAGGACAGCCTTGTTCTCATTCTCACCCTAATAAGCACACCTTGCTTTCCTCTGACAGAAATTATCACACGACTCTCATTAGTGCGGAGTGCCGGGGGTTAATGGATGTCAGAGGACAAACACGACTAATTGGTGGACTGTTTACCCCTCCAATCAGTCAGAGGTAGATGAGGGTGCTGGCCCCTATCCAAAAATGAAACCAAGGAAATTATACAGTCTTTCAGATAAATGAAACTATCTGCAAAAGACTTTTGCATCAGATTGGTGCTAATAGCAGTGCTCTAACATTAGGTTGAAAATTGCTTTTGAACCTTCCTCATGTTGTTGTTTACATCTGGAAATGTCGCACATGCGCACAATGCTGGAGAGTGAAAAGACACAGTAGAACAATCCATAAATGAAACATGGAGATGTAGCTATTATTACTTTAGTGCTATGCGCCACAGCAGAGGGAAAAATAATACAGAAAAACTGTTGAACAACTGAAAGCCACTTTTTCCCGCTCTCTTTGTTCGCTATGATAGCGGCGCAGACTCTTTGCCATAGCAACTGACAACATCACAAAATGTTTCAGGATTCAACACCAAGAAACACTCAGACATTTCCCAGAAAAATAGCAGAACATTCAGTTTGCTAGAAGACGATTAGTCTGTGATTTTAAATAAGTGATCGCTGTGGTAGATTAGCTACCAGAGCCATTAGCTAAGCTACCAGAGCAGTGGTTCATAAGCTAATTTACACACCTGTTCTACTGTTGATCTATCAGCGTTGGTGTTTAGGTCGCCTGGTTTTATTTTTTAACTGAACTGAAACACACTGAATTCCACAGCGCATGTACATGTTAAGGTTGTCATAGTCAAGCTAGCATAACTGACCTGCTTCCATCTCACTCGTTATTTTTGTTTCTAAGTAAATCTTTTTCCCAGACTTATATAGTTGTATAGTTGTGGTAGTGTGTACAATCAGTAGCAAAGCACTACATTCCTTTTTATTTTGTATATCAGGCGTACATTTAACAGTTAGTGCGTTATGTTGACAACCTAACAGCTAAAACCAATGCTAGTCATTATTAGCAAGTAGCTTTTTTCTTTGCTCTTCACTCAGCCCACAGGTTTTGTGTTTAATTCAGGGGTGTCCAAAGTGCCGCCTGGGGGCCACTTGTGACCGTTGGACTAAGTTTGTGTTGCCCCCGAACAGCAGTTTGAGAATTATACAAATTCTGTCCATCCGAATTGACTTTATTTTCTGAATTTGGCTAAATATTCAGTTGGATAAATTTGATTTGGTTACTTATGGGAAATACATTTTGCATTTCTGATTTTTTTCAGATGGCACTACTAGTTCGGGGAGCAAGTGTAAATTTGCAGATTATCTGTTTTAACAAATATGTAAATACTATACAGCTCTGGAAAAGCAATACTGCAGTGAACCCCATTGGAAACCTCCTGGTTATTCCACCATATATTGGTTCCTAAACTCTTCAGTTAAAACATCACTATTGTAGTTTCTAAATGAATGTAAACTTGTTTTCTTTGCATTATTTGAGGTATAAAAGCACTGCATATCTTTCGTTTTTCTCATTTTCTACTAATAAATACAAATTTTTTGCTTGTAATTTCGGAGACATGTTGTCAGTAAGAAAATAATGTTAATTTTACTGGAATATATACTTTGAAACAGTAAAATGAGAGAAACTGATCATTTTTAAATGGGCTCTTAATATTTACCAGAGCTGTTTATTTTAAGAAAAGTTACATACTGAACCTTGAAGTTTGACAAATTACCAAAAACAGAGGAATTTTTTTTATGGCATTGTTGTTTCTACCCATTCCCCATCGAACAGCTTTTACTAGAAATGAGCAACTTCATACCAGCAGAGTGTTTTAGTATTTTCTTCTCCTCTGGTATTAATAATCAGTCAATCTTGGCAGGTGGTCTTTTGGTAAACACCAAATCCTCAACACCTGTTGCCAGAAGCCTTTTCAGCCTGGCTCTGAGCAGCTTTGTTTCAACTGAAACGCCGTCCCAGAGAGCAACCAGACATAAATAACCAACTGTGCCACAGCCAAACAGGCCGTTATTCCCAGACAGAAGCTGCACACAACAACTGAACAGCAGCAGAAATTCCCAGAGGTGCAGCTCATCCCCAAAGAGATGCTTCACGCACCCGCCGCACCCCGTCCGAAGAAGAGGTCGAAACCAGGAGAGGACAGTTTCTGCAGGCGTGAAGAGGCGACGTTCCAGGATGTTAGAATATTCCTGGTAGAGAGGAAAATGGGCCGCAGCCGGAGAAGCTTTCTGACCCAGCTGGCCAGGTCAAAGGGCTTTGTTGTGGAAGACGTTCTCAGGTTGGAAAAAAAAAAGATTTTGTTATTGATGTCTGGCCCTAAAGCTTTTTCCTAGTGTGAAGCTTTTCTAAATCTGATGGATTTCCCTGGCATTTCCTAACCTTGAAATAATTTAAAGGCCTCCGTCAGTCGGTCCAGTAGGCAGGCTTATGGAGATGATATTTTAGGGCTTATCTTTTGTTACAAGCTTCTGCTTTTGTGTCGTTTTTATCTAATTAGCCAGTGACAGTGCCACTGATGCCTCATGAAGATCTAATTATGGAGGATTATGGAGTCATGGGGCATTATGATATTCCCACTGTATGATAACCTTGAGTAAAAATACGGCATTATCACAGAAATGACAAAGAACCCTCAGAATTCTCTACACATATTTATTGATATTTTCCTAAAATATCAATAAAACCTACAAGAAGATTAGAAAATGAAAAATTCTGATGTTTTTCTCAAAATTTTGACTTTTCTTCCCTTAAAATTTTGACCTTATTCTCAAAATGTCAAAATTTTGATATTTTTTTTATTCAGACTTTTCTTCAGACATTACCTGTTTGTTAATGCTTTGAATACAACATATTCAATAGATAAAGGCACATAAAGAAAAAAAGGTGCAGGAACATATCCACACCAATCCTTCAGGAAGTTGTTTTAATCTCAAAATGAACTTTTTTTTTCTCAGAATTTTAACTTTTTTTTAAGTCATAATTGACCTTGTTTTCCTCAGACTTTTTCTCTCACTAGATTAAAGTAATTATGAGAAATGCTTGTTGCAGTGAATATTTGAAAAAACTCAAAAGCAAAAGAAATGCCATTTTGGTTGACTAACATAAGCGCTTTTACCATCGTGATGAATAAAGTGCATTTCTTAACAGACATAGAATCTTAAACTGACCCACAAACGATTATTGGAGTTTGACAAAAGTAAATGTAATTGCATGTTTACAAATATTTACAGAAAGCCATGTGAGGTGGTGCAGCTTTTTTTAGCCTTATATTAGTCGCCATATCACAACAGGAGCTCACCGACTTCCTGTTTCTGCAGAGGGAAGAAAAGAAGCAGGTAGACAGAGACACAAGTCTGAGAAAAATACCAAAAATAGAGACGACAATCCACATGTCTGTCTAAAAACAGATGTACTGGGAGAAGACAGAAAGGTCTCTATTCAGAGTAAAGTCCTCATTATTCATAATAAAGATCTTCCTGAGAGTTTAAACTGCGATGCACAGCGCTGCAATCACATTAGCCACATTTTACATTAAATCTGAGTTACTAAAGAAAACAGTCCAATTTTCCTTCCTTTCTGCAGATCATCAACAAACGTGGTTGTCTTTTCTTCATTACGTTGGGATGAAATGCGCATTATGCCCATTACATTTGGAGCTTTGCTCTTTTTGTGCCCATTCAGCCATAGAAAAACTCTGAAACTGTGCATGTAAAGAACTCTAAACCAAAAATTGCATGTGGTTTGAAAGTGCAGCCGGTTAAAATTTGATATATTTTCATGGACCCTTAAATCTTTGCACAAAAAGAAAGCAGAAATTGACTCGACCATCTGCAGATTGCTGGCAGTAAGAAAACAGCACAACAGAGGTAACAAAGCGCAAAAAACCCCAACTTTTTAAATGACTTTGGTAACACATTTTTATGCCAAGTCACACTTAAGAACAAAAGCTTTGTGTGGCTGCTCCTTGGAGCGATGAATCCTCCATTGTGTGGTAATTATGGAAGCAGCATGCCCCGTTCGTTTCTTCCCTCTCTCAATGAAAGTGTCTTTCAAATCACAGACTGCGAGCGCAGCAGAAGTCCTCTGCTTGAAATCAGCCGCGTTTCAGAGTCGCTTTCCTTTGAGGCTGGTTGATACTCTGGATGCAGCCACCTCCTTTTTTTTTAAAATATCGACACTTTTGCAAAGCCTACACTTCAGGTTTCAGCTTTTGCAGCTTCGCTTTCATTTTAGAGGAAGGGGATAAATAAAAATGAATGAAAATAGACTCATTAAAAGCGTCCAGACACAGTGAGTGCTACATTAAATGTGCATGTGTGAGGAAGAGATTGTTTGAACACGTTTCTTCGCGTTCCTGCCAGCCTGGTCATGGCAGCATTCCCAGAAACACAGCTTGAGCGTTCCTACGGTTACACTCGGCTTGATACACTCGTTTGAAACCAACGACAGGAAGTGGAGCCGCCTGCCTCAAACTGACATTAATCCTGCAAGCTCACCAAACTGATATCAGCTGCAGTTTGATAGCAGCACCTCCCTGTCTGGTCCTGTGCGCGTTGTAGGCAGACAGCCTGAGCATATGGCCTGACACGCTGCGCAGCAGACACACACGTCTCCCCGCTGCTCTGCCTTTCAGGTCCGATGCACATGAACGTCCGTCCAAATATCGACATGCTTTTCCTGGTTGACCGATGGGCCGCTTCAGAAATGGGAGTAACCCAAATGTTCACACATGCTGTTTTGGTGTCTTGTGCCAGCAGTCATACTAAACTAAAACAGTGTAGTAAAAAAATTCACATTTTGCTACTAATCTGAGCTAATCGTTGAATTGTGTTCCCTCTCTCTTTTTTATTTTTTCACATTTTCTGGACTAAAAACAAGGTTTCGTGTCAGTCATCATAAAAGATGTGACACCACCACGCATGGATGATGAGGCTGAATCTGTGAAGCCAGTTGCTCTCTGGATGTGGACAGATTTCTTTCTTTCTAGGACAAAAAGTCTTTTTAACTGAAACATAAAATATGTAATCGTTCTCTGTTCATAGGTTGATGCATTCAGACTCTCTGTATTTATTCTAACAAAAGGGGAAAAAAAGTTTGTGGTTAACATCAGTCCAGCTGCTTCTGCCCCTTTACATTAAAGAAAATGCAAAGCTTCAGTTAGCAGCAGTTAAATACCTAAAATAGACATTGATAACAGTTAAATGCGTTTACAATGTATAGCAAAGTTACTGGCGGAACTCTGTATTTTATTAAATTTGTCTAAAATATATGTTAAAACATACTTTTCAAGAAAACACAGAGCTGATGGTAAAATGTACCACAGATACAAACCAACAGAAGGAGCTAAATGCTGAGAGCAGCATCACGACTTAAAACACCAATAAATATCAGAAGAAACTAAACAAAATGAATCCAAGGAGCACATTTTGACAAATTTTACATGTTGAATATGGTTCAAATTAAACCATGTCACATATATGTCAAATGGATGTATGTTTACTTGCTGGAAAAGAGAAATAATGCGTTAACAGAAGGAGAAAACGTCTGGAAATGGATTTTGCTTCAGGATTCTGAAAAAATAATTTGAGTATTGAATTGATATAAAAGCAACTTTTTGAGCTTTACGTCATGTCATGATGTCATTCCCTTATCAAAAACATAAAGTTTGAGAAATGCATGTGTGTGAAATTATTTAATCACCATGGCAATCAGTCAGCCGTTCAAACGCCTGGTTGGGCCTCGCCCCGCCTTCGAGGCGCAGTTTCCAAGAAAACCTTTTAAAAATGAATGAAAATTGTACCTACATTGTTCAAAATACCACTAATTTAAATAGTTGGAACAGCATTTACCTGGAAACCAGATTGTACGTTGAAATAACTCTTGAGATAAATCAGAATCTAATGTAAGGGAACTTAGATTAGTCACTTCAGTAGAAAATAAACTGAAGCTTTTTCTGCTCCAACATGCAAATAACCTGCCTGCTGTGAGTTGCCTGCTCTTAAATGGAGCCTTTAGCCAGACTCAGTCCCGCTACTTCCTACTGTTTCTTTTTTATGTTTCAGTTCCTTTGGCGAGGAATCAAAGCTTGTATAATGGAGTAAATTAAGTAATAATCCCATATTGATTTATTAATATTAGCATTTTCGGTACTTGCAGCGAGTCTCATAAGATGAAGGGGATTATGTACAATAGAAAAGAGGTGAAATTAGACTGGGATATAGTTTTTTTATTTTTTTATCTAACTATTGATTTTAGCTGTTAAGTTGTCAACATAATGCATGATACACAGAGAGGCAACTAGATATCAAGGTAAGGAAAAAGTTTTAAGAAGGAAAAATAACATGGGAGGTAGTTCAGGTCTACTTTGAATTTAATATGTAGGTGTGATGAGGAATTTGTTTCGGTTCAGTTACGAAAAGAAAAAAAGTACAAATAAAAAATGGATTTAGTTAAATTATCAAAATTCTCAGCTGGTCAACCTCTAAAAGTTTAACTATCCATACCAACAGTTATTGCTTTGAAGCATCGTGGGGCTTTAAAGATAATATTATCCACATATGATTAATAATAAATGTCTTTGAGTACATGGTGCTAAAGAGGAAGAAAATATAACAGAACTATAAAGGGCCCAAAACAGGACCTTGCACTACACTGCAGGCAAGAAGCTTAGAAGAAGCTGCAGAAAATGATTATTGAGTCTAATGTGAAGAAAAACCTCATCAAAATATTTTTAGAGACTCCAAAAATAACTTTAATGTGTAATACTGGCTATGCTGAAGTTCATCAAGAAATGTTAGACTAATCAAAAACAATTTCCAAAATCTGGCCAATAAACAAACATTCTGAGATTTGAATAAATTTGACATTTAGTTCAGGAAAAGAAGTTGATTGTTGAGCAGATAGAAGATTAGCTTTGGTAGAGCTGTGGCCAATCAAGGTGCAGCCTAAAGTCTTTACCAATTACTCCCAGGGGTCAAAAGAGAGGAAAAGGAGGCTCACGCTTGAGGTAATTATACATGACCGAACGCCTTGATTGGGTGCAGCACATCCCAATATGTCTCTGGTGAGATGAAAGAGGGCTGTGGTTCAATAACTTCAAATCCAAAGTGTGAAGGGATTCACTGAGCTGATTGTTGTTTACCCAGTGTTCTTTCACTCTTGATGGAGATGCACGTTGTGTTAAAATGAGGAAAATATGTTATAACTTACAATATGTGATCAATGTTCCATTTGCAAATTGACTTACAGCGACTTATTCATCAATATTATGAAATTATTGACTTATTTCTTGCTGAAAAGTTACTTGTAAGTTAGATTTGTCTTATTTCAAGTGTACTTATACTTTTGCCCTAAAAACCAGACCAAAAAGTACTTGGTAAGATTTTGTGTTTTTGCAGGAAGTCATGGGCCAAATCTGATCCAAAGTTTTTAACTCTTTCAAATGAAAGAAGTTGTTAATCTTTTGTCTTTTGTAACTTAATAAGTTTTCCTCCAGTCACAGGGTAGAAACACTTAAATCAAAATGAACAACAGCTATGTTATTCTGGTAAACAAGATAATGATGTGTTTTTTTCCTATGTGCACATGGGGTTCTGGTGGTACTTATGCAGAGGATCATATTGAAATTAATGCTCACATTTAGCATGTTGTTCCCAGTGATACTGATACTGACCATCCGGATAATGATGACGCCGATATCAAAAGAGGCGCCGTCCGTCTGGAGTGGTGTGTTTGGTTCTGTGGGAGCGAGCCAGACTAAATAAGAGAGATGATGGATCATTCAACCCTAATGGGTTATACTGGGACTGACCCAGTACACTCAGTGTGTGTTTGAGAAGCTGGGTCCTTTGTTTTTATTGCTGGTTCAAGAATATCAAATTAATGAGTGGCGTAGATTTTTGAAAAACAAAAAAAACTCATAAATATCTGGTAAAAGAAACAAGTTTTGGGTTATAATTATGAACATTTCAGAAGCTTTTTGTCTTTAATTTGACTTTAAATTTAAATTTGAGTGGGTTTTGTAATATTTGTTTATATTGAGACTAATTTTCTAGTCTGGCTCAAAGTTTTGTTGTGTGAAACTAAACATCAGTTCAGCCGTTTTGCTATTATTTGGATTTTCACACTGATTTTTAAGGTTTGGGGTGTCAAAACACATCGTATTATTTTACACATCAGCTAAAATTTAAGGAGAGGTTTGATGCAAAATCAACTTATATCATATTATAAAGTTTGTCTCTCATCAAAAACATACCTGGAGTGTTGATTCCCCACTCAGCTCCTCCAGACTAGCGGCAGCAGCAGTTAGCAAACATCTACTGAGCTTATCAGAAAAACTACTTGTGAGTCCAGCTATAGTAAGAACTGTTGTAAACGGTATCATGGAGAAGTATTCTGAGGCAGAGTGTCAGAAAGACTAGGTGATTCTTAAAGGGACACAGGTCCAACTTCCAGTCGTCAAATTGCAAAGTCGATCTTATTTTAAGTTATTCTTGACATTTAGAACATTTTTACCACAACTGAAGGAATAATAGTTACTCGACTGCTATAAAATGGCACCATGTGCCTGTAAAATACTTAATACAGCCACTCTGGAGGATTGGCCTATGCAGAATGTTTTCAGTGTCTGAAATGACATGTAGGAAACCTGAAGACGCTCTGACTGGATTTGTTCCTCTCCTCACAGCGATGTGGTGACCCATGTGGTGTCGGAGGACAGCCAGTCCTCTTCCCTCTGGGCGTGGCTCAGGGGTCGCTCGTTGTCGGATCTTTCCACAGTGAATGTGTTGGACATCAGCTGGTTCACTGACAGCATGAGAGAGGGAAAACCTGTTCCTGTGGAAACCAAACACCTCATTCAGGTTAGTCCAGGTCGATCAGACACAACTGAACAAGCGATTACAGGTTACAAATTAACTTCGTTTTTTTAAAAAGTTAGAGCTCCATTCTCTTTTTTTAGTTATTGTAAATATGAATTTGTTCTTGGTGTGTCACTGAAATTCAACGCTGGCCCCTGACAAGTGTGAAAAATGTCAGCAAAGTGGGCGGAGCAAAGAGACGCTGAGGGGCGTGGTCAAGTCTGGGGATGTTGCTTACTTATAAACTTTGTCGCTTTATTTAGCGACCTTTCAGAAACCTCTGATAACTTTTCACTCTCACTATTCAAACTCCTGAGTCGCCGATTCTGATGTAAGGCTGGGCAATAAATCAGTAACAATGTACATCACGATACACGCATGAAATGTCTGATAAAATATTAAATAATTTCACTGAACACTGATCTAGAACTGCATGGCATTCTGGGGGATGTAGGCAGAGGAACGGATTTTGGTTAGCTAAGCGAGGCTGGTCGCTTCAGCTACCTCCCTCCCTCTTTTAGCTTGCAGTTACGCCTCATAACTGCTCAAGAATAGAAAAATAACGGCGTGGAGAAAGGAGAAAACGAGTCCAACAGCTTGAGAGGAAACTGCAAATGAAACAGGAAAAGGCCAGTTTGCCCAAACTTCTTCACCTTGGTCATGCTTGTGTGATAAATGTGTATCCCTAAACTCTTTTGCTGGTTTGACATGTAGTGAATAGATTTTTTTCAGCTGTCTAACCTCAGGTTGAACTTGTTGCAACGTTCAATATTGTGGAAGATTATCAGCTTTCCTGGACCTATCTTGGAAGAAACTTTCTTACAAGGACAAACTGAATCTTTCACGATCTTTTCACAGCACTGATGATCTGTTACTACTTTACACTACATAGATGTCTTAATCTGAAGACGCTTGATAATTATGTACGCTGACTCACTTTTAAGACAGTTTTGACACTCAGCAAGAAAATTAATATATGAATCATTCAAAAATGCACCAAAAGATGCTGGAAGTTTGATGCCTAACTCCAGATGTCTCTGCTCAGTTCTCTACTCTGATAGTAAAAAATAAAAAACAAACATCCTCCAGAATGTGTGGGAGTGTCAAATGAACCCATCAGCTGTATGACAGGGCTCCATGTGTGTCTGACATAACAGACACACATGGATGTATATATATCCATATTTTCATGGATGCTCAGTGTTTTCTCTCCTGAATGGCAGCAGCAGCAGAGCCTGGGAGCAGATCAGACCCTCATACATAACACTCAAGCGTCGCCAGTTTGACAGCCATGATGTTTTCTCTGTGTAGCCTGCTTGGACAGTAATGAGAAAATAATACAGCGCAGATACTTTATATTCTTTGGCGGTGAGTTAGGGGTGTCCGCAGAGCTTTTCCCATTCGTCCTTAAAATGGACACCAGCAGAAAGTATTTACAGCGTTTTATTTCTCGACGTTTTGATATGTTACTTCATTATTCCAAATTGTGCTAAATTTATGTCTTTGCTCAAAATTAAGCAAATAAGTACTTCGTTACAGTAATGTGAAAAAAGGCATAATTTACTCATATAAATATGGAAAATCACATTGACGTAAGTATTGATCCACCTCTAAATCTGAGTCACCTATATTTAGTTAGTTTAAGCCGTTCTTCTTTGCACCAATCTGATGTTTGAATGACCAAAATAACAGATTAAAAACAAGAAATGTCTTTGTTGTTGACCTTATATATGTATTTATTCAACAATTTAGCTGCAATTTAAAGTGTTGGTCAGATCCTTCAGACTAGCCAGCACCAATTAGCAAACAACTGCTGGAACTGCGCATCATCTGAGCTCATTATAAGAGCTACTTATCAGTGAAACGCTGGTAAAAACATGGAGAAAGATTAATAGAGGAGCCATGTTGTGATGACTCAGTTTTAAGGAGACAAACGCCCAATTTCAAGGTGTTAAATTACAATGTCAAATTTCTTTTAAGTCATATTTTATATGTACAGCAACTGAAGGTAACATAGTCACATGGATGAGCTATAAAATGGGAATATGTTCCTGGAAAATACATATTGCTGTCCCTTTAAAATTAAAGACATTTCTGGTACTAAATCTGCTAAATTGGAATATTTTATTTTCTGGATGTAGAATGGCTGTTTAAGTGCAAACTACTTAAACAAATTCCTCGTTTGAAAAGAAAGAAAATGAAAAGTCGACTCCCAGAGGAGCGGGATGTGTGAGGACATGTGCTCTGAGGAGTAGGTGCCGGTACAGGAAGTGGAATCTCATGGACTTTTGCCCTGTTTGCTGGCCTTCGTTAACCTGCTCGTTTGGCCGTGTGACGGGCCTCAAGCCTGGATCGTCTCGACGGTTCCAATGCGAACACGAGACCGTGTGAGAGGCAGCAAAGCTTATGTTGCCCTTTCATCTCGGCATATGGTGTGTGTGGAGAAACGAAGCCCTGGTGTGCAGACTGTACACATTAGATTAGTTACATCTAAGTCACAGAGCAAAGGTGAAGAGGACGCAGGAGAGAAGCCCAGTGGGGGATGTGCTACCTCTGCGCTCTGGCTTCCTCCCTCTTGTACAATATGGCTGCATAATAGCTGAGCCCAGATGGGGGAACCAACCTCAGCATGCTGAGGCACTGAGGTTTTTCTCCATGGAGTCACAATGCCATATTACATTAAACCAACTGCAGTTAAGGTGGAATAACAAAGGCAAATCCACTCCTGTTGGGTTTTAAGGAAACACAGACAGGAAATAATGAAGGCAGTTTTAGTTTTGCCAAGGAAAAAATGTGGTGTGAAATAAATTCAAAGCTGTTATTTTTCAGGAGGGAAACAAGAAAGAGAATTAGGGGAGAATAAACGCTGATCATGTTTGAATCCAGCCCAGAATTTGATGTGTTAAATCATTTTATCATCTATTAAAGACATTTTCCTCTCTGAGTTAATTCCTGTATCAGGATTGTCTTTATCTTCCAGAATCACACTGTAGTTAGTTCAGTCTTCTGAATAAAAGCATCCCCACAGAATCATATTGCCTCCACCGTGCTTCACAGATAGGAAAATGAATTTAGTATGAAAGGTAAAAACATTTATTTTGGCCTCAAAATAAATGGTGAATTTGGCTGCTGCATTAGGTTTGTAAATATGTTTTAAATTGTTAAACTGAAGAAAACGTTTCTAGAATAAAATGCACAGCTGTCATTGATATGAGGGGAGCTTTTTGCTGGTGAATTTAAAGTAAAATAAAAGAAAAAGAAAAAAGAATCATATGCATAGCTGCACTGGATAAGACTTTGTTTCTCCCATAAAGAAGGAGCACAAAGTGGACATGACAGATGAATAAATGGACAAACTAAAATGCAAAGTCTAAGCAAATAAAAAGAGAAACAATCAACAAACAATCAAATACAAATTTCTGCAGCTCCTCCAGTTACCTGGGTAAAAGGTAAAAGGTTGTATGTGTTGTATGCTGCACTTTCTTTGGCTTTTGTCCTTTCACGTTTGCCGTGTTTCACATTTTTCTACCACATACAATTCCAATAAAAAGAAGCCATGAATATTTTTTCGCATACATTCTCTCCACCCACATCTATGGATGATTGTCAGAGCACGCCATGTTACATTTTATGATGTGTAATTGTCTCCACGAATATTAAAAATTACTTTGGTAATCCGTTCGCAGCTTATTTTACAAACGTGGAGCATTTTATTCGTGGAATGAAAAGGCAATTTACAGGAAGAAAATTGGATGATGACAAGCAGATTTGTAATGCCACGGGTTAGGCAGCGTAATGGATTTGGATGCCACCAGACTGTGAGATGAGTGTCATTAGCCTGTTGCCCCGGAGACACATAGTCATAAAAATAACTTCTCCAAGGCAAATGGCTGCATTTAGATGTAATTGAATTTGAACTCTCGGCTGCGGGCTCATCAGGATGTGACCTTACACACTTTTACACATTCAGACCATCGGTGGTTTGGACTCGGAGAAAAATGTGACCATGAATTTGAGTGTGAATGAGTTTGTGACTCTCTGGCTGTTTTTTATTTTTTGTAAACAGGACATCCTGCCAGAAGCTCCTAAGGCGGCTCCCGTGAACACGGTTTCACAATACGCCTGCCAGAGACGGACAACCACAGAAAACAACAACAGGATTTTCACAGTAAGAAACTCTTGGTAGCTGCCCTGCTTTGCGATGTAAAACGCTCCCCTAATCTGTTCTACTCTAATTGGATAGCTGGCTTGCCTCACTCTGACCCAAAAAACATTAACCTCTGAATGAGCAGCATCTGCAGCCGCGACGTACCGGAGGCAGAGCAGCTGACATGCCAGTGATCCCTGCCACAGGGGGGCAGACATGGACACGCCCTGCAGCTCTGCCGCTGTATCAATCTCCTGTCTTGTCAATGGAAGCGATGGGTCTGTCTCTCTGCCATCTGTGGATCACAGGAAGGAGAGAATCAGCAGAAGAAGAAGGGCTTACTCAGGTTGATTAAGTCAAAGCTGCAGTATGTGACTTTCTAGAGGTATGAGACGGAAAATTTTGGAAAAAAATCAAACCCCTTTGATTTTTTTGGTTGTTTCCTCCAACTGGAAACAACCAATCAGAGCCAGGCGGAGGGTCTTAGTGCTGTCAATCAAACTGTGTGGCGCTGCTCATCCCCCTTTATTGTCTTCAGACGGCAATAGCAGCTCAGGGAGGAAATGGAGGAGATTGATCTTTTCACAGATTATCTGTCTCATATTAAACATTCACACCACAGTGACAATTTTACCAAATATTGAGAAAAAAAAAGCATATTTTTAAAAATCAATGTTAAACACTGTAGCTTTAAGAGGCGGTTAGCGGGAAAGGAAAGGATGTTGCATTTCTGATGATAATTAACAGCAGCTGCAGGTGGTGAGCGAAACATTAGTAGAGGAAAAAAAAAACAAGCTGCTGTCAGCATGTGGTCAATGTATTTCTCTGGTGAGGAATAATTGACTTGAATGCTGATCATTCAATCGTGTTCCTTTCCACTTAGATTAAATACAAAATGTATTTAATGTCTGGCATAACATTATGACAAATCATGCTTTGTTTTTTTTTAAAAAAACTGTATCATATTCCCTGTTATCTAAAATTTAAAGTTTTTAAAAATATTATGCAACATTTGTAGCTCTAAATGTGTCTCACTTTGCTAGACGAGAGTAAAAGTGTCTCTTTGGATTGTAAACGTCGTAGATCTCAGGTTTGGTTCTACAGATACAGTCAGACCTGGAGGTTTCTGACGCTAAGTCAACACCTGAAACTGGTTGTTGTGCTCCTCAAACTCTTCCTGAACTCTTTCTTCCAGGAGGTCGAACAAACATCAGGAAATATTGTCTCCATCAAAAGCTTGTATTGTCTGCACTGATGCTTTATAAAGCACTTTAAAAACGGATATTCACTGCATCAAAGTGCTGTACAGTATTCATACAGACCTTGGTTATTGTTGTTCTATGTCACGGTTTTTCGTCCACTCAACTTTCCATTGATATTCACCCTTTGAAAAGTCAGACTTGTAGTGGCTTAATGAATGTCTGCTGGAAAACTGGCTTACAGTTTAGTCTGTAAGCCATCATCATTAAAACTCCAAGAAATAAAGACCTGAAATATTTTCATGTATTATGCAGATTTATCTCATGAATCTACATAATATATGAGTTTTGAAACAAATGACAAAAATATTAACCTTCATCTCAATATTCAAATCTTTGGAGCTGCACTTGTACTTGCAGTGAACTCCTCCTTGTAGGAATCCAGCTTTCTGCTTTGTTGTTCTTATTTTGCATTTTGTTTCAAGCAATCCCCCCGATTTAGTTTTGCCTCTGATTGTGAAGATGAGAATCCTCTGTGTGTAATAAGGTGAACCAACTGCCAGCTCCAAGTTTGCGCTTGTGTGGGAGCGCGGAGACCCCTTGATGAGTTTTTGTAAGACCTATTAAGCGCTGCTTATGAGGGCCTGTGAGGCATCTGCTTCATAATGAGTCTTTACTTCCCAGAGAGGCTAAATGTTCATATTCTTGGCACACGTGCCGGGAATATGCCCACGTGTTTTTGCATGTGCGTATTAAACCTCTTACAGACTCTCACACGTGTTTGTCCACATGGACGGGCAGGTGCAGATGTGCACACCATCAACACGTTCTCACCTGAGGGAGGCTGCCGTTCAATTTCTGATCCACGGTTTCTTTCCACGGCATTAACTCCGTAATTAGCAATCCCCCTCCGTTTTCCTATGCCCATGATTAACTCATTATTTCTGCGTAACGCCACACAGAAGGAGAGTTTCTGATTAGAAAGGTAGTTCTAGCTGTGGACCTGAGAAAACTACAGGTAAAACACTTCACCGGGGCAGAAAAAAGCAATTACTTTGTCTAGCCAAGTCAGACAGGAGTGGGAGAAATATGTGTTGCATTGCTCTTTGACTGTAAACCAAGTCCCTGCTTAGAAATTATTGCTAGCCAACCACCCAGGAGAACTGACAGGATAGTGTGATAGTGCTAATGAGGAGAAACCAATTGATCCATATTGATGATCCTGAATCTGCTTCACTGCCTGCTTGGTTGCACAATATCTCTACCAGATGTGCCTTCCCTGCTATATTTGCATTTAGTTTTCTGCATATTTGTTGAAATACTCTCTACACTGAGTTGCTCAACTCCATCTCTAACACCAGTAGAGTCAAACACGTTTTCATTTTGGGCCAAATCAAAAATCTGAATCCGGAAATTTGTAAATAAAGCACATTAAACTGGTAAAATATTAACAAATAGCTGTTCAATAGCATTCAATAGGCGTGTTTTTGTTTTAAAAATTGAACTTCTTTTCACACTGATCAGTCCATCCAGGATCTTGTGATAGATTTTGTGGTTTTTTGCAAACTTATGACTGAGGCAGCAATCACTCAAGTCCAATGTTTTCGGCTAATTTTTAGAAAAATTTGCAGTAAAAATCTGAAGGGAATGTACTATACAGACCATTTATTAAAATGAGGATATTATTTTAACATATAAAATATATGAAACGTAGCTTAAATACTCAATTCTACTGAGTTTAATGGACATATTCAATTTAGATAATGAATAAATGATTAAGTCATTAAGAATCTAATGTTTTTCACAATTTTAAAATAATTTTTTTTCCATGTCTTGTTGCTCTGTTCCTAATTTGACTGGTGTTATTTTTGCATGACATTATTCAACACGATTTCCCAGCAGTTGTGAGTCACGGTTATGAATGGCAGCTCCACAAATAAGCAGCGAGTCAGTGGGTGAACTGTGAATGTGGTTGTTATCACTAAATGCAATCTCGTGGCGAAATGCGAAACTGTGTTGCCTGAATTTGTGCTCTGTGTCACAAGCTTCGCTCTTTTCATGAACTCGGACTAAACGTGAAACTGACCAGAAAGGAGAGAAGGAAGTTACAGTCGGATGTCTCCCTGGGCAGCCAAGTCAATTTTCTCTCTTACTGTTTTCCTTTTACACTTTACACTTTTCAAACTTTACTTTTCTCTCCTATTTCTGCACTTATTTGTCTCTAATTGAGACTATTAGTCCCTCTCCCAACCATATATTGAATCAGCTCTACTTTTTTCCATTTTCTGCTCTGGATGTGGCAACACCTCTTAGCCAGTAGCTGGTTTATTGTAAAAGCAACTTCTGGTCCTAAAATAAAAAAAAGCCTCTTAATTATAAATCACTCAATTCAAAAGGCCCAAGCTGTTGAAGCACTGAAAGAAAATTTATGTTTAAACTAAGAATAAAATCGATTTGAACTCTTTTTATGCATGAAACTAAAATGGCTTAAGATGGAAAAATACATTTTCTTGATACAAGGAAAAAATTTTAATGTCTTTGTGTATAGATGAATTCATTAAAAAGATATGGGAACCATTAGAGAAAAAAACTCAGCAACAATTTATGGCTTGAGGGGTTGAGAGGCGCACCTGGTGGAGTGGGGTTTACTGGTAAGAGCAGGAAGTAGGAGGTGCAGAAAGGTGTCAGGAACACCAGGAGAGAGAGGATGAGCATTATCCCAGCAACACCCCCTAGCAGGCGAGGCGTCAATCAGACACTGGCAGCCAGCGGCCCTCCATTCCACAACCATGCACTATTGATTTATTCATCCCTGCTTCCTCTTCCTCCCCTTCTGCCTCTCCCACATTACTTCTCTTTTCCCTTTTGTTGTTTCCAATAGCATTTTCCTTCAAAATTCTTCCTCTCATTGTTCTGCCTCTCTCCACAGTGTCTACACACACACACCCACACACGCACTCAAGCACACACACACACACACGCACACACACACACACACACACACACACACACACACACACACACACACACACACGCACACACACACACACACACACGCACACACACACACACACAGACACACCCCCCCCCACACACACACGCACACACACAGACACACACACACAGACACACACACACACACACACACACACACACACACACACACACACACACACACACACCACACACACACACACGCGAGTCAATCCCCCAACCGATTTTTTTCCCTGCTCATCCTCCAGTCGACTGCTGTCATCACTTCACCGCATGCCGGACATAAGGAAACACAGAAACTGATGTTTGTTTCCTGACTGATTGATGTGCAGCATGGGCAAAACTTTTCTCAAATGGCAACACACACACACACACGCACACACACACACACCCATACTACCCAACTTACCAATAGTACTGCGAGCTACTGTCAGTCTATCCTGCAAAGAGGGGACTTCTGTTTCTAGTTTGTTGAGAAAGCTGAAGTCCAAAAAAATTTACTTTAAAGCTCTAATTATAATATCACTGAAAATTTGACTTTTATTCATTTTTAAAGAAATTGCCAAGAGGGGACCTGAGTGACGTCTAGGTGTCAAAGAGGACCTTTACATACTGCAATATAACTGACTGTTCCCATTTTTGATGGAAATAGTATTTACTTACTACACTGGATTACTTCAACTCTGAAGAAATTGATAATTTAACTTGAATGATATTATTTAATTTATACTTTTGAATACAAATATACCAAAAAGTTTAATTATGGCCAAATTTGACAATGAATAATATTTGAATGCCATTTAATGATGGCATGAATTAATAACAAGATCTGCAATAGGAACATGTTAATAATTGTTCCATGAAATTCATTAGAAGAATGTTGTGGTTTTGTAACTTGGACTGAAGTCAATATGTTAAACAATTACCACAACATTTACACTAATTCGA